CCCACCCCACCCCCCCTAGGACCCTCAAAAACAAAAACAAGTTCCGCGCTCGAAATCCCCATCCACCATACATGCATACATACGTACATACATACATACATACATACGGTAAGTATATAGGTCGGGGCAATTTCTTCATACGCTCCAACTTCTTAGTTGGATTGGACGCTAGACGATGTGGTTAGGTTAGTAGACATTGCTTTTCGGCTAGCTTGGAAAGTAATAAGTATATCGAATGACAGTAGCGGAGGAAGCGAAACAAAAACAAAAAAAATGGGTTGACGAGCTTGATTTTCACCTCCCACCTCCCCTTACCACACATCTGCACCTTACAACCTCTAACTACACCATAAGGCTAAAACATTTCTTTTGACCTTTTTCCACTTCTCCACCCTGCTATGATATCCCTCAAAACCAACCAACCAACCAAGCCGCCAAAATCAAGTCCCCCGCCCAACCCAATCCACCTTCTTTTCTACTTCCTAGCAGCCAACCAAGCCCCCGCCTCATCCCAAGCCTTCCGATCCGCCTCTGGAATCTCACCTCCCTCTAACGTCTTGACCCCCGCATGTAACGCATCAAAGAAGTTCATTGCAACTTGAAGATCCTCGGGCCAATTAACTGCAAACGGCAGATATCGATCAATGTACTTGGGCTTCTTGATCGCCTTCTCCTCGGCCGTGGCGTTGACCTCGACGAAATCATCGAGGTAGGTCTTGACTGCAATACCGAAGGCGATGTCGATATCGGTGGAAAGTGGGAGACTAGTACGAGTTAATCATTTCGAAGGAAAATGGAAAGGGGTCACTTACGATTTGCCGATCTTGGCGAAATCTTTGCGCTCTCGATTACCGTGGCCGTTCAAGAACATGGAAGCTGCTGCTGCCTCTACCAAGTCTCGGTCTGTCTCACGAACAGCCTTGATGATTGAATAGAATGATAAGAGGTTCTTGCTCAGTGGTCCTGTGTATCCTACGTTGTTATGGCGGATCTTTAAAAGACATGCCGTACGACCAATGAGTATACAGCTTGCCTTGTCAGCATCATCGCCTCTCAAAGGTCCGCCAATGAGTTCCGAGTGACGGTTGCGTGAGTTGAGATTATCGAATCGAAGGAGCTCAAAGGCGAGGAATGCTGCTTCTTGGATATGATGTATGTCTTTATAAGCCTTGACATCTCCACGAACAGCCTTGAGAGTAGTCGCTAGCGCCTTTCCCCAACTCGTCAACTTATGTTCATCGTTGATATAACCTCTCAGATGAAGCACGCGCCACAGTACATTAGAAACAATCTCGGACTCTGTCTCTAATTTAACGTCCTTGTCGTCAGTGATTGTCTTGGAAGGGAAGTCATTATCCAGTAACGATATGAGGGCAAATGAAAGAGTCCCTGCGGAAAGTCCAGTAGCCTTTTCTGCCTCTTGTAGAACGGATTCCTTGACTTTCCAAGAATCAGCTTGCTTGTTGGTTGGTGTTTGCAGTAGCAGGTTCTTGGGAACCATGGTTGCTTTGAAATTATCATCGAACCAGAATTTCAATGTAATGTCCTTGTACTGGAATGCACGATGAATTCGTGACACAATCAAGGTTGTCGCAGTTTCTTTCAGCGGCACGAGAGTACTCCCGACAAGTTTTCGGTATTCGTCAGAGACGACACCATCAAAAGTTGGGAGAACCAAAGACCCGAGTAAGAGAAAGCTGTTCATGATTCGGGGCCCAATGAGAGCTTTCGAGAGATAGTAGTATAATTCGGCCGGCAATTGCATCCCCAGGTATTCTCGGTTATCCACAGTCAGACGATCAAAGTCTTTAATCTGGACATCACCGTTTTCTCGCACCGTCCCGCAATGCTTCACAATCATCTTTGCTTTTCGGAATTTGTCGAGCCAATTTGGGTCTTGTAGCTGCAAAATATCACTGAAAGCAGCACAAGTTGCATTAACTGATTTTTCCGATGTTCGCAAAAGATTGGCGGCATCCTTGACCGTGAATGGTTGTAGAGAGATAATATTACGGTCCGAGAGTGGTGGAAATGGGGGAAGGAATGATGTTCCAATCATCAGTAGTGCGTCGGCAAGGACTTCCGGTGTGACGTTTAGTCTTCTGATGATTTCAGATTTGGAGATGCCAACAATCTTCTTGCTGTCCCAGTGTGCAGCCGAAGGTGGTAGGAGAATACAATCATCAATATCATAAAGGAGCAGCTCTTGCGATCCCATAATGCCGTCAATGTATTGTGTCTCGAGTGACTCGAGATAAGCTAGCTGATGTGGGCATCAGCAACACGCGCCAATGACGGGAAGTGTCCGGGATACTTACTTGTGCACAAGCACCGAAAGGAGCAATGACAAATTCCAAGCCCTGCTCCGTAAGGATTTCTTGAAGTAGTCTATATAAGTCTTGCGCACGAGCAGCTCCTATGAAGTATTAATTGGCGATCCACAAAAAGCAATCATGGTCATACCCGACGCCCCAAAAGCCTTGACTGCTTCATCCGGACGGTTATCGCCATATAAGGTCCATGCATGCTGTGTTTGTTTAAGTGCAAGTTGGGCTCTCTTCAATGCCATTTCATCCTTTCCGACATTCGTTTGGCCGTCAAAGACAAACAGTGGCTTCATCTTATTCTCTTTCCATAGCTTCAGTTCCGACTCAATGTAATGTCTAAAGGTCATGGGTTCTCCACCAAGGGCAGCGAGAAGGGGTTCGTGGGAAGGTGGGTTATCAATGAGGTTTTGGAGGTAACTCGTTGCTTCGACACCAATGACTGCATTTTCGAAATCTGCCAGCGAATTGGATCTGATTCAAGTTGTTAGCAAGGTATTGCAGCCCATGCTTTGCCAACTTACAGCAGATCTGAATCGGACCAGGCTTTGCCCTGAAGTTGTTCTGGGGGGTAGGCGTTAGCATTTCGAATTGGATTGAATGCGCTGATCAATGGGCTTGAGTGCACTGAGTTTGAGCTTTGGCTAAAGTAGTCCAAGCTACGAAGCCTCACGTCGGGGTCTCTGTTTTGGATCCAGTCACGCCTGTCGTAGAGGTAGCGTGCTAACTGGAACGTAGGCTTTCTGGTAAAGTGCGCATATTCGAACCCATGGCCGTCCCACGATGATTCTGATGGGGGGGCAGGGAACGCAGGCGGGAAGATCAACGACGGGACATTGACATCTTCCTCATTGCCATGGGGGTATTCATAATTGAAAGATTCCTCCATGGTGACCAAATCGCCAGGTCCAGAGGGGGAGAGCACGGTTGAGTAGAACATGACAATGTTATGGAAAGATGAAGCTTACGAGACATGATGGCGAGGCGCGAAGCAGAGGAGGGATAGAAGGATATTCAAGAAGCTCTTTCCAAAACTGGAAGCAGATCGGGGGAGCTTTGCAGGTGCAGGTGCAAGTGCAAGTGCTCAATGACGAGGACGAGGACTTTTGGTGGTGGAGGTGGGGTTGTTGGGGGGATTGGGGGAGGAAGGCGCAAACGTGGTGGTGGAGTGAGCTGTAGCTGTAGCTGTACGGAGGGAGCTCGAGGGGAATGGATTTTGGTGGGAAAGCGGGCAAGGCTCCGGAGATCGTCTTGTTAAACTTTGGGTGGAAGGAAGCTGCGAGGCAACCAAAATCTGGACGGGAAATTTTGGGGAGACAGTTTACGGAAGTCAGCAATATGAAGACTAAATTGCTTCTAGCTTCAAATGTCAAGATATTGAATGATAGGTAGCAACAAGTAACATCCAAGCACCTTGGGCTGATCTTCCCAGGTACACCAGATGGAGGCCCACCACTCATTCTTTTGGCCTAGCTCTGTTGAGGCTGATCGGTGGCTGCCGACCCGTTTCCGATAATCCCTGTAGGTGGTATCCGACAGCTGACCCACCCTCCACCGACATCAGATACAAAGTGCAAGTGATGCAGTTGATGTGCAACAATACTCAGATATGCTGCAAAATATTCAACACATTTTCAGACTACCAGCAAAACTCGCTTAACTTTAAGCTTTGAACATGGCTGTCTCTAGTGGACAAATCCCTGTTATCGACATTTCAGGGACAAAGTCAGATGCTGATGTTGCTGATGAACTGGTCCAAGCTGCCTCCACTTATGGTTTTGTGTATGTGAAGAATGAGGGAAAGGATATCCCAGTGAAGGAAATAGATCATATTTTTGATGTGGTGAGTTGGTTGGAAGAAGATGATATGTGAATGAACTGTTTTCTGACAAGGTGCTAGTCACGAAAGTTCTTCTCTTCACCAGAAGAGGAGAAAGCACAATGCAAGATTGGGGAAAATGTAAGGATTCTTGAATAAATATGCTACAAAATCTATCTACGCAACAAGTAACAATTCAAAGAATAGAGGTTGGTCTGGTATGCATACAGAAACCCTAGATGCCAAGAACCAGAAAGTATGTCAACCCTTTATGACTTATAGTATTGTCGCTTGCATAAGCTAATCTCATATTCAGCGTGGAGATTTCAAAGAGTATGTTACTTACAATAGAGAGCTCAACTCATCACTAACTCTCATAGAGCAATGAACTTTGGAGAATTCGTTGATGGGAAAGCCCAACAGCCTCTCCCACCATCTCTCATCAATCATGAAGCAGATCTAAACAAGTTCCACAATTCCTGCCATGACGTGATGCAAAAGATCCTAAGATTATTCTCCATAGGCCTCAAAGTAGGTACCCTCCTCAAGTATCCTCCTCACACATGACCTGATCTACTTGGCTAAAACTCTCAGATTGACCAAGAAGCCGGAGGTTCAGACTGGATACCCTCCCGCCATCGAGACGGACCAAGTGGCTGTACCCTCCGCCTCCTCCACTACCCCTCCATCCCATCAGACAGTGACTACGATCCCACCGTCGACATCCGCGCAGGCGCTCACTCCGACTACGGCTCCATCACCCTCCTCTTCCAAAGACCAGGGCAACCAGGTCTCGAGATCATCCCCCCCGAAACCCGCAGCGAAGAACGCAACTTCGGTCCCACAGCAGCCTGGACACCCGTTCCCGTCTCACCCCAAGGAACCGAAAACGACCCCAGTCCTCCCATCCTCGTGAACATTGGCGATCTACTCTCGCACTGGACGAACAACCTGTTGAAGAGTACCGTCCACCGAGTTGTGTTCCCGAAAGATGGGAGGCAGGATGGCGAGGATCGGTATAGTATTGCGTATTTTGGTCATCCGGTGGGAAGTACGGTTTTGGAACCTATTCCTAGTGAGATGGTGAGGAAGCTGCAGGGTGCGGGTGGGACGGGGGTTAAGGCTATGACTGCGGATGAGCATTTGATGAGTAGGCTGAAGGCTACGTATTTGGGTATGTATAAGGATGGTGGTGGGGAGAAGGATGAGAAAATTACTTCTCCTTAGGTAGGATTACTAGGAATGCGCATAAGTTCCTACCTAGGCTAGGCGCGGCAGCATGGTGTTAAGTCCTCCGTTTCCAGCGTTTCTTCCCTTTTTCTATATCTACATAGTCAATGAGTTTTCCCTGTAGGTGAGTGTGGGCGAGTGGTGGTTGTGCTGTTCCAAGGCGAGCACTCCAGCGAGGTGTTGCATCCCTCGTTCCTTCCTTTCTTATTAACTCCGGACCTTCCACTTCTCCCACCAAAGTCCACGGCTGCCTACGTAGGTATTTCTTTCCCTTCCCTCCTCCGTCCTCCCTTTCTCAAAACTAAACCTTTACATCCACCTCAACCTCCTCTCCCCCTCCTTCACGATCCTCAAATCGTGGGGTAGGTCAACCTCTATCTCGCTGCTTCTGGCGAGCCAACAACAACTCTACGCAACTCATCGCAATTGGGATACCTCTTTCTTTGATCCTGACTACAAGTACGAGAGTCTCATCCTTTGATAGCGTTGTATGTCTTTCCTAAGCCCGTAAGTGTGGCGGGATGAAGCTGATTGATGTAGATACGCATGTGGAGACTGTACGGGGCAACGTCGTTCATCATGCCACCTTCGCGTGTTGGTGATGAGGATGGATTTTAACCTTTTTAATGATGAGCAAGCCGCTATGGACATTCTCCGTAACGACGGCTTCGGCCTAGGCACCCAGGAAGCTGTCGGCTTGCAGCAAGCACTCTTCAGTGCATTCAACAACACCAATCATGCGAGTCGTGCCCCAGAGCGTGATATTTACGATTTGCCTTCGTCACCGGTGTCAACCCAGCCTGAGCCATCTTCATCACCCGTCCGCAGTCCACCAGAGTACCGGGTCATTGACTTGGTGTCTGAGGGCTCGACATCTCAAGCTGCTTATCCGAGCGACGGCACACCGTCTTCTCAGCAGAGTGGCCATGAAGAAGAAGAGGAGGAGGATGAAACTCAAGTTGCGGATATGGCCATGAATAACGCTGTCGCTGGTTTCGATGCTTCTGCGAGTACTGGAATTGACTTGAAAGAGTTTACTCTGTTCCGAAAGTTGCCCGCGGAGATTCGCGTAATGATATGGAAAGCAGCCATACAGCCACGTCTTGTTGTTATCCGAGATACGAAGGCCTGTCGGGATCACCGTGAGGGCAAGAAGACCGAAGGACGAGCTTGGGATTATATTTTCAGCACGACGCCCATCCCGGGACCATTGTTTGCCTGCAAGGAGGCTCGGGAGACTATGATATCATGGGGCTATAAGCTGAGTTTTAGCAGGGCATACGATCGATTATCGCAAGCCCGCGTGTGGTATAAGAACGATGTTGACATTCTTTACCTGGCACCGCTGGAGCCAGGAGCACAAAACTCTTCTAATTACGCTCCGATGTGGCGACGTCCGATAGACCGCATGAAAAGAATGGCTATTGCTTTCAACAATACATTAAGCGGTTGGGACTCGGTGGAAATCTTTACTATCGTAGTCTATTACTGGTGCCTCGGATCACCAATAAACCTGCTCATTGTCGAAGACCATTGCGGACACTGTCCCTTGACAAGTGGCCATCAAACAAGACAATCATCAAGTGATCCGTGGACTTGGTTGCAGCTTGAAGAAGGATTGACTGAAGAGAAGAAGTTTCCAAGGAGCTCCCATCTTGACATGAAATTTGGGCCATTGATCAAGGCAGCCAGTCTATCAGATAATGCTTTCGAACCCAAAAGATTGTTTCAGGACTTGACCGACGAGATTCGAAAAGCTTTTGATGAAAAAAACAACAAGATTCAATCTAACTATGGGACCCCATTGAACACCCCTTCCTCCATCTCACGTGTCATGGTTATGAAATCCTCTCAGGCCCAAGCACTGATTAGGGCCAGAATGGTTCATTCCATTGCAATCGAAGATCTTGAGAATGATAAGCAGGAGCTGGTGAAAAGCCAGCGCAAATTTTCGGAGGTACAGAAGGAAGTTGAAGCTACAAAGAAGAGAATTGAGGCGAGAGAAGCCAGCATCAAAATGACACAAAAGTCGGTCGAGGACGCTGTGCATGCATTGCATAGTATTGCTTGAAGCCTTTGTGGCGAACGGGGTGAGGGATGGACTGGAATTTGCGTGGCTTTTTGCTACACGTCAAGAGCGAATTACTGTATGAATGGCAGATACGAGGAAGATGATCAAACTACACACCACTATGTCAAGGAAGCTTTGCTGGAAATGACCGCTTACGGACCGGGCTACAATGGGGAATCAATGTCACGTTTCGCAGAAGGGATAGAGAGATCTTGCTGGGCTATGCTGTTACCATAAGATTATCACTTTTTACTGAGCTGGTATGAGCTATAATATCAAGGAAATTCAAATACATTTTCTTCAATCTGCTGCACTATGAGTACTAATTCGCTTCTTAATGACCTCAAGCCGACGAAACTTTATGCAACCGAACTAAGCATAAAATCTCTAGATATATAGATAAAAGCCTAGCAATTGCAAAAATAACTTGCGATATCCTATCTATGCTCCTTATAATTCTATTTTATTCTATTAAGAAACCTAAACTCCTCCTTAAATAACTCTTTATAGTAGAAAGAGAGGATTAGATTATCTAATAATACTATAGGATTAACTTACGCTATCTAATATCTCTAGTATTAGGTAATAGTATAGTATAATACTTAGTTAGGTAGTATAACTTATTTGTTTCTTTTATTTACTATACTATAAATACTAATTCGCTTGTTAATAGCCTTAAGCTAAAAAGACTTTATATAACTAAACTAAGTATAGAGTTTTTAGATATGTAAAAAGCCTAGTAATTATAAAATTAACTTATAATATTCTATTTATTCTTCCTTATAATTCTATTTTATTTTATTAAGACCTTAAACTCCTTCCTAAATAACTCTTAATAGTAGAAAGAGAGGCTTAGATCAGCGTACGAAAGAACTCCTCGACTACTTAAGTAGAGTAGAGTAGCGTAATCCACTAATCAAGTAGGAACAAGAATCGAATCTAACAACTTATAGTAAGTAGTACGCGAGTAGTACTCTCGTACGGAGCGCGTAGGGGTAGAATCTACTTGAGTAAAGTAAAGTAGAGTAGATACTACTCCTCTCCTCCACTCTACTCTATACTACTTATTTCTTACGCTGGTCCGACTTAGTCTCACTTTAGATTTCTTCAATTATACCTAACCCTCGGAACCTAAGGTAAAATCTTACCTGTCGACATCTATATATTCCCCCCACTGTAATCTAGTACTAATTACTTAACTTCCAACTAGGTGCTAACTGGTATATCTACGTATTCTAGTTAGTCTACCTATGGTCTAGATAAGGTACAGTACTTATTATAAGGGGGGCGGGAGGGGGTAAGTAGATATTACAGCACGAAATGGGAGTACTCTATAGGTAGGTAGTGTTTCAAAAAGACGAAAGGAAGGTACAGTACGGGAAGAGAAACACAGGTCACGCCCAGGTGGGTATAGTACAGGATTAGACATCGACATCAGATATGCAAATTATATTTTCGTATTGTATGGCCATATTCGGCGAGGCTCCACTCCACTCCACTCCTCTCCCCGCAAGCCTCCATCTCATACCTCGCAAGAAACCTATATGCAACACACCAGCACACCAGCACACCACAGCAACAGAAGCGAAAAAAAAGAGCAAGCAAGCCAGCCAGCCAACCATCTACAGTACCACCAAAGGTAAACATCCACGAACGACGAAGCTGTCAAATCAACTATCATCAAATGAGAAGGAAAAATGAGCAATCCTGCTTGCTTGCTTACTAGCACCAATCCCCCATCCCCCCCCGTCATACAAAAACCGCAATATTCCTACATGAACGAGAAGAAAAGAAGAGGGAAAGAAAATAAACAAATATTAAAAACGCCCAGCTAATAGCTTTGCCAAAACGATGAAAGGGAAAAGAAAGGCAAGGTCATCATTTCCATCCCATCATTCAGTCGCCCATAATCTCATCTTCATCTTCGTCTCCTTCCGGGACCGGCTCCCCGTTGCCATTTTCATTTTCATGGCCTTCGACACTCTCGTCCGGGTCGTTGTCGAGTAATTCCCGTCTTCGGAGATCTTCAACTGTGCCCTCTTCAGGCTCCACGTCTGCGAATGGATCATCGTCGTCTTCAATAGGATCATCCTCATCCTCATTTGTGACCCGTTCATCACTCTTCGTCGCCCCAGCTTTGCGAGCAGCGATAGCAGCTTGCTGGGCTTTACTTTTGTGACTCTTGGACGCCTTGGGATTATCAGGACTTTCCAGATATCCGAGGACGTCTTTGAAATTGGGGCCGAGGCGTAATTTATTTCGTTGCAGACGCTGGCGGAGTTTTCCCTTTAGCTCACCAGACGCATCGATCACTTTGGCAATGATTCCCAAGACGAGCTTTCCAGTCAGTTCGCAGAGTTGTTTCTCAGCTCTTAGGACCTCGCTTTGCTTCTCGTGTTCCGAAAGGCCTTCGTCATCTTCAGCCTCATTATCTGAATCATCGTCTTCTGGTTCTTCATCGTCGGCTGGATCCTCAAGCTTCTTTCGAGATTTCTTGGCATGTTGCTTTTCTAGGGCGACGAAGATAGACGTTAACTCCAACTGTACTGGCTCGCTTATCTCATCCAGTAATTCTTGAAGGGGCGCGTGTGCATCTGCAGAATCTCTCAAAGTCGAAAAAAGTACGTAGACGTCCAGAACGGCTCCTGTGCCCATCAAACGTACTGTATCAAGGCTGCCTCGAGAGGAGAATGCTGCGACGAGATTGTTGACAAACACTTCTTGCCATTCCTTCAATTGATCAATCTCAGTAGTTGGAATATCGACGTTAGAAGAGATTTGCGATGTAATTTCACGGACCTTCCACATGAAGTAAAACATTGCTGAGCGTATGGCGCTGATGATAACCTGGTCTTCCAAATCATCGAGAACTTCATCATTTGAATCTTCAAAGGTGCCTCGAGCGACTATATCCAGGAGTATTGTGATGGGACAAGTATCTGAATCACCCAGGCGTGCCTCTAATGGTTCGACACAGTTGGAAATACTAGCAAGCTGTTCGAGTCGTGCCAGAATATGCGATAACTCTTCAAGCCGCTTCTTTTTGAGATTGCCCCGAACCGCGATTTGTGTGGTCTTATTGACCTGCTCTAATGAAAGGGTAGTAGTCTCCCAAAGTGATTGCATCTTGGCTTCGGTGACTTCCTCCAATTCCTCAAATGCACGAGCATGCAGTAGAGCAGCGCCTGCTTCGGTCAAGACATTGATATCCGCATGTCCGTTGAACTGAGCGCTGATCTCGTCGAGAAGATTGGCATATGCTGTAGAATCTTGGCGTAATTCCTGAAAAACTCCAAGGTTCAGCACGTGTTCCAATCGTAAAACAACCGTCGCAGTCTTTGGATCCGCCCCGTATTTCTTCAGAAGTCGAGGTATTACGCTAGCCAAGTGTCGCGCAGCTGTTTCCCTAGACTCGGCATTCTCATTTCTCGAGTTCTTCTTCTTGTGTCTATCGCCCTCCTCCGATTGGACCAGACTCAATTTCACGGTGGCATTGAGGATTTCGAGTAAGATAAATTCTTCCTTCTCGTTCGGCTTGAACAATTCCATCAACGCGCGCTCAGTCTCGTTACCAGTTGCCTCAGAGGAGTGGTCAAACAACAGATATCCCGCAAGAACTTCCCATTCTCTCAGGTCGGGGATTTTATCGTACAAAGCCTGAGCAGCGAGAGTAAATCTTGATTTAGAGCCAGTAACATCCAGAAATTTGGCTTGGGGAATTTGACTAGGCAATTCTTCCTCGTCCTCAACATCGTAGCTCTGCAGTATCTCTGCCAAGCATTTGAGCCGGATCCATTCTGGTCGTGGTGCGTCAAAGTTTTCCTCGTCTTCGATTTGAAGGTACTCGTCAATCACCTCCTCGCCACCAATCTCTTCGATCTTATTTTCATAAAGATCTTTCATATTTGCAGCGAAAAATCCCACCAGGGCTTTGCGAACTTTGGGTTCCGAGTCAAAAATCAGTCTTCCAACTACATCAATGTCGTTTGGTTCCAATAATCCTTTATCTTGTATCATGTCCATAATCGCAACCATCAAGGATCTAACAGCAGCATCGGAATCTTGTACAGCCATTTCAACCATTCGTGGACGGAAGCGCTCGATAAAATTGTGCATTCCGTCGATATTGCCACCAATCTTCATGATTCTCTCGAGTTGTTTGACAACTTCCTGGCGTACTATCGCTTGTTCGTCGGAAAGCAACCATCCAAAGTAGCGCAGATAACCACCCTCGAGAAAGACCTCCGGTAGAGTCAAGACCCAATTGCCCATCGCCGCAACACACTCAACTCGAATTTTTGGATCAACATCGCGATATCTGTGAACAAATCCTTGGTCGAAGTTCTCTCTAATCTTTTGCAGTACCTCATCCCGATGGTTTTCGGTTGTCTTCTCCTTATTTTCGAAATCCGCCAAACGCGCTTTGTTGGGCTTGTTTTTTCTCATCTCCCCTTCACGCTGGCGTGTAATTCTGGCCAGATTATCTATCTCTTTTCGAGCAACATTACACATTGTATGATTAATGGTCATTACAAGAAGTGTGGCTGTGTGGCGGAAAGGTCTAGAGCCTGCGGAGGTCATTGGAACGAGCCATGAAATGATATCGTCGTATATGGTGCTCTCCCATAGCAGTCCAGATGCATGGATCGCTTCGATAACCATATGAAAGAAATAGACTAAGTGCGCGCGCAGTTGGTGGCCGGTTTTGGACCTTGAAATCAAAGGATAATCTGTGACTCCCTCCTAATAGGTGTTAGACTTGCAAATTAAAGAAGACGCTACGGAAGCTTACTTGAAGATGTTCTTCTGTGATTTCTCCAATCTTGTTCTCCACGTTGTCTGCATCATTGATATCGTCCTCCGTGACCTGGACCTTGCAGCCTGTGCACTTGATTATCAAGTTCACCATCTCAGTCATGGCTGCCGGGGCACCATTTCGGTATCTATCGAGCCATGTTGATGTGACATCATCCAAAGAATCTCCACTGGCAAATACCTCTGCTATTCAATTTATTAGTATTACAATCAATATCGAGGATATGTGCAAATCTACCATAGAGTCCTTCCGTAGCCTCGTCCGCGATTACTACCCTCTTCACAGTCTTTTTGGATCGATTGGGTAAACGCATGGCAGGCGCTTCTTCGTGCGCTGTGCCATTGACCTTGGAGGATTTGGGAGCTAGTTTCTTTGCGGTCTTTGCCTTTGCTTTCCGCCGTGGCTTTCTAACTTCCTCCTCCTCAGCACTCTCTGGTTCTTCACTCTCTTCTGATTCTTCCTCAATCTCTTCCTCGACTTCCTCCACTTCCTCAACATCTGCGACGACCTTGGGTTTTTTTGCGGCCGGTTTCTTCATGTTTTTTCCTCGTTTCGGTGGTTTCCTAACTTCCTCTTCACCCTCACTCTCTGGGGGATCGCTCAGCTCAGAATCTTCGTTGGCGGATGCACCATTTTCGACCTGCTTTCCACCTCTCTTTCGTTTTGCGCTTGGTTGGGCAGCTTGCGATGACGGCGCATCGGGTTGAAATTTGTCTGGTGCTCTTACAGCGCGTCCTGATTTGCGCCGTTCGCCAGTCGCGACGGGGGAACTTGTGCCGTCATTGTTGGATATATCCATTAGGGGCGATCTGTGATTATTCATTGACGCATCTGCCTTTTGGATTGTGGTTGAACGAAAATGGAGGGGATTTTCAGAATTAGGCGGCGCGTCAAGCTGGTGTTTGTCGCGAAGTGGAAAGTCGCGAGGGCGTTTGGAATTGGCTTACTCTTGCCTGAGGAACAAGGCTACAATCAGTGATGACGAAATTGATGGAGGGGCGGGAATATCAATTACCAACTTGGCGCACCCTCACCTTTCGACGACGACAGAGGAGCAATTTCAATTCTCTGGACGGAGGTGCTCGAGGACTTCGACCTTCTCTTTACATTCATGTTATGCAACTTTCATTAAATCCAAAATCTCATCAACAATCGTTCAATGCCAGGTGAACCATAACTTAGCAAAGCCATGCTGATGCCGTCCTCTGCTCGATAATCCCACTTACCCGTACTGTCATGGCGTCCCCGTTCCCAACATCCTCCTCAGCACCAGGAGAGGGAAATTTAGTCGTTGATGTGATGCCCCAAAAGATATCCGGTCTATCTGCGATGACTTTTCAATATCCTCTCAAGCTTATCTCTCCATCATCAACATCATACCAAAAAAGTGTGCTCGTGTTTCTCTTGACGTATGGAGGAGGTCTAGTCGGAGGGGACCAAGTCAATCTCAAAATTATAGTCAAAAAAACCTCAAAACTGAGTATCGTCACACAAGGACATACCAAGATCTTCAAATCACTTTCCCCCGATATTGTTACCCGACAAAAACTTCAAGTGATGATTGAAAGCGGTGCTGCGCTATGTTTGCTTCCGGATCCTGTTCAGCCATTTCAGTTCAGCGCTTATGAACAGTCGCAGATATTTGAGGTAGCTGATACCGGATCGCTTTGTTTGCTGGATTGGGTATCGGCTGGGCGTACTGCTAGAGGGGAGGACTGGGACTTTTGGAAGTGGAGTGGTCGCAATGAGGTGTGGGCCGCAAGCGAGGCGGGGAGGAAAAGAAGATTGCTCCTAAGAGACAATGTGTTCTTGAATGCACAAGAACTGAACGACGAGGATAGAGATCATTCTGTGAGACGAAAAATGCAAGGCTTAGGTATATTCGGCACTCTTGTGTTGCGAGGGCCCCTTATGGAAAAACTTGCCCTCTTCTTTCTCGAAGAGTTCGCGGCATTGCCGAGAATTGGGTCTCGAGATTTTAGATCTCAGGATATGAAAGACAAGGATAGTAGCTTGGTTCTATCCCCCCAAGAAGCGTGGAGAAAACAAAGGCTGAGGCAAGAAGCTTTGGATGGAGTGTTATGGTCTGCCGCGAAAGTGCGAGGTTGCACTGTCATCAAGTTTGGGACTTGTACTGTAGAAGGTGGTAGAGTTTGGATTGGCGGAATGATCAAACAAGAAGGGTCAATATCTGATAAGTTTGGGGAAGATTCGATTATGTGTATACGATGAGCCAGAAAGATTTAGATGGCTCAGGTGTAGAATAGATAGGCGCCAAAGATACTTGGCACCTCGCGCCTTGTCGTAAGTATCTTTTGGAAACCCTTGAAATCCAATTATGCTGTACTCCCTGGATGAACTAATTTCGGTACATGTGCTTCTGAAAATAACTAGAGCTCTTGCAGAGTTCATTTCCAGTCATCCGCGAATCTACCCAACAGTTCTTCAAGTATATTCACGTGCGCGCCGCCCAAATCAATGTCATTCAGGTATGAACGGCATACTGTAAGCCCTTATTGTCAAGACATAGCCGCGACCTACAAGGGAGTGTCTATATTACGCCGCCGTTTCTCTATCGCTTCCTTCTCTTGTGACTATGTCCGAAATAAATTTGCGGTATGGTTTGTTTGAATAGAGCTGACATACGACCAAAGTAGGTGGTTACTTAGATCTAGAAAAGGTAAAGGTGAAAGAGTGGCGCGTTGCTTATTCAAGCCGCCAGCGAGTGAGTTTCAAGTAAAGCTGGTGAATTACCTTCTTGAAACACCAAAAGAAATAATGCGTACCTAAAAAAGGATAGCCCAAAAAGAATCTCAAAAAAAAGTATTTTTGAGCACAAGCTCTAAAGCCGAAGCTTGAACTTTTTTTAAACCCCCAAGGCCCCACTCCTATAGAAATTAGCAATACCAATGAGAAGTGCAGTAGTGCCGCTAGGTATACTGTGTTTCAAGCAACCCAACCTGCGTTTGGCTCATAATCCCCAGTTTCCCACGATAAGTCTGGATTGTGTAAACACGACGTTTACGACTCATCAACTTAAGCCCGAAGGCGACAGCAATTGTACTACTTCAGGATATAAAGGTATTCCAATAATGGGTCACAATCTACGTGCCGTAGTTCTGCCTGTTAGCGTGGCTGCTCCATTGTTTTAATAGGTCGAGTCGAGGGGCTCGTCTTCTCGCGTATTTTGACTGGACAACCGGCACGTGAGCTGGATTCACCACAACTCGGTGGTGGTCCTCTGTTTCTAGTTCCTATAATTTGCCTTGGGATTGAATGTTGATACTAATTTCGGGAAATGCGCGCTAACATATGCCCTCCTGAGCGTCCGTCAAATTTACATGTTAGCAGATTCTGTTTATAGACACTTTCTCTACTTATGTTCGTTCTATTCAGCTGCTCTTGAATATTAGCTTTTGACCCCTGGAAACATTAGAAAAGTTCATTACTTTTGACAAAATAAACCTGAGAAGAGTGGCGCGCTCTATGATTAGTCGGCGCTACTTATTATATCCACTTCAAGCATATATTCTTTAAACCACTTACGTCTAAACGAGATAAAATAATGCTATAGCGCTCTGCACGAAACAGAGTACTGGAAATTTCGTGGATTTTGCGGGTACGAGAAATCTAAGGGGCAACGATAATCGATAAGACGAATTTCTGGTTATTTCAAAGTTTATAGGGTAATGAAGCTCATGCTAGATCTCCGACGTATCAAGATTTGTTGTTGTCGCAGGTGCAGAATAGAAAAGCTAGCCGCCAGATTTAGGCAGCAAGGAGAGCCCCGCAAAAGTAGATTAGGAAGTAAGATTCAGGATAATCAGAAATAGAGACAGGCGAACTAAGGTGTTACGGTGTAACCAAAAGTTCACCGAGGATAGATCTCCAAAAGCCCCTGTGAGGCTGGAAAACAAAAAGCCAAACTTATGGCAAAACTATACCAAAACAGAAAATAATGTCCACTTGATTGAGGCAAAGCACAAGCTCTCTTGTGTGAGATTCTGGGCTAGGATAGGCACAAAAGATACCCTATACCGGGGTTATAGAGGAGAATTGAGTAATTTAGGCTAGGAGAAGAAACGCAAGCACACTATGGCGTGCTGTAGAAAGTCATGTATACGGGAATGTAAGAACAGAATGTGGGTAGTGACAGTGATTATCCTTAGGTCATCACTATGGGTCTCAACAACAGGGTGTTCCGTGCAGCTTTTGCGTTTTAGGCCTACATTCACAACAGAAAGAAAGGATGGAAGCGAAATGCTACACGAGAACTCAACAGCTGTTACCTCACTACTGCTACTGCTGTCACTTCTGCCCCCATTACTCATACTTCTGTTAATGTCTCTACTGTATACTTGCAGTTTCTTCATTGCCACTCGACTTTTCAACATCAGTTAAGCAACCCCTAATTGATTCACCAACCTCAACACGATGCTCTGAATACTGTAAGCTTAATTGTTCCATCCCCCCAACTCCTTTTTACTGAATATACCATAAACGTCCCAAACAATATCCACTAAGTGATGATTGGAAAAATAGCTTTCTGGCATACCAACTTTGTAGCCATAGTTTTACCCATGAGGCAGGGTATGTGACCAACCATGGCGGTCACAGATCACATGATTGTTACAGCGCCTCTAATTTTTGAAATACTTTGCAAGAATCAGTAGAATAGTTCGGCGATCCTCAATGGATCAAGCAACAGCTGAAGCTTAATTAAACTAATTCCTCCAAGACATTTCAGTGCTTGAAAATCAAAACCAACAGTTCCTGTAGCTCTTGGAGTTTCAGCTTCTTGGAGGAAGGATGCCTATTGGGACATTAAAGCGACAGGTATTGCTTGAATGATATTGTGCTTCTAGAACGAATAACTGAAACTGCGAAACTGCGAAACTTTGGACAAAAGACACCACTTCCAGAGCCGCAGTGTCGTTAGTTTGGTTTCACATGTTGATCTGAAGTGAGGTTGGGACAAATCACGTGGTATGAAACAGAGAGATGAGTTAAGGTTACCTTAGCGAGTCCAATGAAATGAATTGGAAACTCGACATTGCATTGAGGAGACCTCTCTTCTTCCCAGACACTCCACCAAACGAGTACGAGTACCCCTCAGTTGACCGTACCAGTACCCCTCATTCCGACCGTTTCCCCAATACCGGTACGGAGACGCTTTTCGGACAGACAAACCAAGTGCCGGTATGCGTTGATCTTGTCCACCTACGCAATTATTTCTCGATCTCCGCAAGGGGGGACTGACTTTGGATAGCATCCTTAGATCAGCCTCAAACACACGAGACCATCAAACTCGATACCGCTTGCACCTCGCACGCGATGGGGCTAGATTTTGGGCAGCAAACTTTTGCATTGCCCAGGCAGTCTACCGAAATGCCAGAGGCGACCCAGTGGAATGCTGCTGAAAAGTATTCAGAAAAACAAGCGAGTATGAGGCTCCGTCTCTTCTTGAAAGGGTGGTGTTCTTCTAACGAGAATCGAAGTGTGTGGTACTATCCCACACCCCATTAAGATCGCCGAAACAGAGAGCTTGATCAACTTACGCGGGAGCCGAGGCCGAGCTGGAAAGAAGCTTGAAAGACCTCATCCTTGAGTCAATTAATGTCCTACCAAGGCTGAGCTGCCATTGATCCGAGTCATTGTCGCATCCCATATGTTTTCAAGGTTGAAACTTGCTTGAGGCTCAGGGATCCGCGGGACCATCGTACTTTGTATTTTTTTTTGCATTGGCAAAGCTTGTGTTTTGAGTGCGCAAGTGCCTTCAAAGTTTGTTTGCAATTTCAATGCACAAGTATAGCTCTTTTTGATGCGGCTTGGGCGTCGTCGCATGAGTTCTGTATGCTGAGACGCAAATTCGAACTTCAGTCTGAAAACATCCGCATTCGAAGGATGAGCTGAAGCCATACAATCAGACGATAAGCCACAAGTATATACGTGTAGAACGAATCCCTGCCATCCGATTTAGCCGGGATATTTTGCTGCTCTTTTTTTTCAGTGCGATTGAGGTTCTCATTTTATTGACATTTAACCGTTTCCTTGCCTGGACACACGTTCGTCAACAGCCACCAAAATCTTTATCACGCAGAGCCGCAAAGTTCTAGGTTAACCTCAGCACCAAACTCCTTTCTGAGTATTGCCTACCCTCTTTCTGAGCATGCCCGGATCCATTGGTAGTCCTTCCCATTCTTGAGACCTCGCCAAACGTCTCCATTCTTTGGAACAGAAGCACAGACTTGTTTGACCTTAAGCTTGTCAAAACTTTATTGTGGAGAGCCTCTCCATACAAACAATGACTGAGAGCCTCAATGCTACAGGCGTAGATCGGATCTGAGCGATCTTAGCCAGCATTCTTCCCAGGTCAAGCGCTGCTGTGGTTGTGTTCTCCAGTCCGTTTTGAGATCAAATCCTGATTAGCGAACCCCCTTCCTCAATCACTTCGTGCAATCCCAGCTCTACTATTTCTACATGAGACGGATATCATCCCTTCAATGAGGCGTCAGGTGTCAAAGACATCATACAGTAAGATTTTGGTTTCTTGTCCGTACTGTAACTTGGTCGCTGCGCTTAGTTAATGGGCATTACCTCTGTTTGGTGCCAGCCATCGTTTAGTTTCCCTAGCCATTGCCATGGTCACTGTGGCTGGGGTAAGGTTGTTTTGCTGCCTCAACATCTTCGAGTCTGGCTACTTTCTGTCCAAGCAGGAGGTCTGTTATCGAGACGAAGGCATGAAGCGGCGAGTCGAGCCAGCGGGTCCTCAAGTTAGGGGAAAAAAAGTATTTAAGCACCTGGACATCCAACTCTTTTCTAATCATCAGCGATCAACAGTTCTTTCTTCTTCTTCTTCTTATTTTATCTACTCTTATTACTATTATCTCAGTTCTGCTTGCGATTGACTCGTAACAGTTCTTCATTCTTTATATAATACTTTTGAAACTTATTTCATCGACCATTTACCAAATTCAGCAAACATGCACTCCAAAGTCCTCCTTGCCGCTCTCGCGACTGTTCCTCTTGTTGCCGCTCACGGCAAACTCGCAGTAGTATGTGGTGACATGGGTGGCAACACTACCGCTCTCGGTATTACCGGGGGCGATGTTCCTGAACGAGGACCAAACAAGGTCACCGAAACCGACACCACAACCTTCAATGCCAAGAACATCAAGTCTAATGGACTCGGAAAGACAACTGGACAGGGAAATAACAAAGCCACCATGGTTACGGCCGCGATGGCACAATCAGGCAACACTCTTCCCCAAGTCGCTCCTGGAGGAACCATGGCAGGCATTTTCCACATCGTTACAACGGATGGTGCTGGACCAATTAGAGGGCTCGTCGACGAAACCGCAACTGGTCAATTCGCTAATGGTAAAGAAGTCCAATTTCTGCAACAAGTTCCCGGCAACGGTGGAAACATTGCACAAACAAACAACAGTGCGAACCAGAAGGCAGCAAAGGGGGCCAGAGCCCTTATGGAGCGTGCTCTCACTTCTATGGGCATCATCCAGAAGCGAGCTGGCAATGTCGACACTGACAACCCATTCTTGATCAGAATCCCAGCTGATACCAAGTGCACCGGAACCGTGGAGGGCATGACCGACGTCTGCATGATAAAGCTTGCCAACTCCAACGCTGCTGGTCCATTCGGTGGTGTTGCGCTTTTCCAGGTTCCAGCAGGAGGTACTGCTACCAAGGCAGCTCCTGAGGGATGTGGCATGATGGGAGGTGGTGGCCGAGCTGGCCAAGCTGCTCCACCGGCAACCGGTGCAGCTGGTGCAACCGGAGCCAAGAAGGCCCAGCGCAGTTTCGAGGCATAGAGAGAGCTCTACTTTCAATTTCCTTTCTCTCTGTTTACGATTTATGCCTTTTACGAGAGCGGGATGAGGTCCGGTGTTTGGCGAACTAGGGGTTGATGGATGTATTCTTCGAATGTGTGGTTGTTTCTTTTCTTTCTCCATACTAGTCTATGGGTAACGACCTATTCCTATCAGTGGAAACTGTACATATTTACACTCTTTTGAAAAAGCGTTTGACTGGCAGTAAAGCGAGATTGGTTTTTGAAATTAAATGGATTGATTTTTTTAAAAACATTTCTGATTATCTGAATCCCCTTTTTGTGAATCAGAGATTGCCGCCTAACCTGTCCGGAAATATGGGTGCGAAAAAGGGGCGTAGACTACACCCGTACTCTACGTAGTCTGGCGCACTTGTACCATAACGGATAATTTAAATTAACTCTGGTCCACAGATTCTATTCTCTAGCTCTTCCTACTACAGAAAGTGATTTTTGCGATTTGCGATTACCTCGTTTCCGACATAAGCGTACAATTAGAATGTCATATCACAGGTTATGATCACTTTGGTAAAACGAAAAAGTAAAATGTGAACCGGGTATTCATCAAATGCACAAAAGTTTCTAGTATTGCCTAGTTTCAGTGAGGTAAAGTGGACTAACTGCGGCATCCTGAATCTACTACTAAACCAGATGACCAAAACGCAAATCGTAAATCGTAAAAGTCTTATGTTTACTACTGCTACCAACTAATATACCTATACCCCTATATCCCCACCCTCGCTCAAACTTTATAGCCTTAAAATTTTCATATATACACTCGCCGCCCTTACTATGGTCTACCCTTACTATCGCCTACCCTTCTACTATATTCTTACTATCGTAAGACGCCTAGTTATTACTTTATATACGCTATTAAAATTTAATATACTAAAAGTCTAGTATAAGTAAATCAATTGTTCTATTTTACCTAGATTAATAAGGAGTAAAAAGTATTAATTATTCTAAACTACTTCTATAATTAATTTAGTTATACAACGCTCTTAGAATAATTTTATTCTAAGAGAGGTATATATAGAGTAATACCCTCCTCTCTTACCCTTACTATTATATCCTTACTATCGCCCCCTCCCTATCGTACCTACGTTACCCTCCCTATCGTATAGGGTTATACCCTGGTATATTATTTAGAAAAGCGAGAGAGAGAAAGAGAGGGTAACCGAGAGAGAATAGAAGCAGGGAAATATTTTCGTTATACGTGTCGCTTATCCCTAGCCCCGAATACTACCTCCCTAAGACGGCTAGGCTAGTACGTATTACGCTAATAATTGTTTACTAATTACCTGTCCTTACTCTCTCTCTCCTACTTTCTCTTCTCTTTCTTTCCCATACTATATTATAATAACGAGTATCCGAAAGCTAGAGTAAGAGAACGTATAAGAGGGGTATGGAAGGAAGAGGAGGTTCCTAAGGGGAGCCGCCGGGGGGTATAGGTATAGGGTACGGTACGTATACTATACGTAATTCGCGAGGGACCTTATACGAATATAGGGGTAAGAAAAGAGGGCGTAAGAGGGTTATAGTAGAGAATCTATATTATATAGAATACTATAAATTCTATAGACTAATAACTCTATCCTTTAGCTCTTCCTCCTATATAAAGTAACTTTTACGATTTACGATTTAGTTATCTAGTTTAGTAGTAGATTTAGAGATACTAAGGCCCTTGAACCTCTAAGACTAGCTGTTTAGTAGAAACTTCCGATTAAGGTACTATTTTATAAATAAATATAAACAATAGTTAAGATGAGAAGTTCTCCCTAGATCTACTTAAACATTAGTATATAAACATTAATTTAAGGAAGGTAGAATAACTTTACTCTTATAATATTTAAGTCTTACCTAGATATTAATGAACATACGGTGTGAGAGGCCAGACCTCGAATAGCTCAAAGGTGTGGTTTCGAATATTCAATTAAGAAGTGCGTGAAGACTACATACATGCAAGCTCTTCCTCTATATATAGAGAGAGGAAGAGTCTCTGGAATATTCCAGGAAGCTGCCTAACGAATACATGATGTCAAAAGAATAGAACAGAAAAGTATGGAACAGCAGAGACTTGCTTGGCAGTGGGGGAATGGCCAGTGCTGAGCGGGGACTTTGGTCAGTGCTTAGCGAGGGCATGGCCCGAGCCTCCATCATGGGTTTCAACCCTCACATACGGTTACGTTTTAGTGTTATAACTTTATATATTCTTACAGGTAAAATTTAGTGCATTTTAATAACTTAGTATTTCCAAGGTATTACGTGGGAGTTAGAGTAGACAAGGCCTGTAACTATACCTTGACACGACTCTACGAGTAGGTGCTTAATCCTGGTCGAAGTTTACCACTAACGATATAGGAGGTAGTTTTCATATCACGCGGCCACTTTTATTTTAATAATTAGAAATAACATGGAAATAAAGTAATACAACCAAAACATATGTCGCGCATAGAATAGTAGATGGAATGTATTTTAAAAGCTTGGATTTAGACGAGATGACTCTGCTAATGTACTGTACAGTAGAAATAGAAGGGTTGCGTGGCCATGAAACACTTAACCTTGAACCCTATATCCAAATGTAGCAATATGCTATTCAGAGAATAAATTCCGTTCGTATTGCTTATATAATTCTTGAAGAAGGATCCTCTCCAAAGATTATGGAGTCAAAATAATCAATAGTCAATTATCTAGAAAATACACATGTTAAGTACTTTCTAGATAGATTTAAGTTATTAAGTTTACTTAATGTTTTCCCCACTAACAGTTGCTCTTCTATAAAAGATGCATCTTTAGTGTTCGCTAAACAATTCTTGTTATATAACCCTATTTAGAATGACCCAAGTAGGAAAAAAAAAAGAAAAGCTGTTTCTAGAAATTATATAAAATTTTAATCAGAAACAAAATCCTTGAAAGCTACACAGTAGCTTTTGTTGACTAATGGTTGATTTTAGTATTTTCTCTCCCCTTTTTTCTTTCTTTCTTTTTCTTTCTTTTTCTTTCTTTTTTCTTTCTTTTTTGATATTTCCTCCTGGAAAATCATACAAAATATGTAGCACTAAAAGGAACTTATTTCAACACTCATGAAAGACCACGGTTATTGAAAACACCTGGTGCTGCAAGTTGAAGCTAGTTATCATTGATTTCTTCTATTCTCCTGATTTACATAACTTATACTAAACATTACCACAAAGATTTTGTGCGCGCTGTAGATAGGGACAGCTAGATAAACTCTACAAGCGCTTCTCTATAATATATAGATGCTCTACATGAATTTGACTTAATAATCTATTTTCTTGTTTCATTGGTTTTATAGTAATTCCTAGTTCTCTTAACATAATTGTATTGTAAGTAATGTAATATTAGTGTTTCTTTGATAACATTGTAGTAAGGTACCCACCCAGCTCTAATTCTTTCTGTGCTTCAGAAACTAATGCCAAAGTTCTGCTCTAGCCTTCGCCGTTTTGCAGGAGACATAGGGACGACAACTACAATGAAGCTACCCCTGAAAGTAGTATTGTGGATTAACCGAGAATATCAACTATACCTCTCCTTTAGTATTGTCTTAATGAGAAATCATGAGTGCAGACAATGAATCTTTGTGGTCTGATATCACTGGCAATTCACTGACCTATTGTCCAAGGCTACGCTTTTCCAACCCCATGGTGGGCCGACAATGGTAAGGCTGGCAGTCCGAAGGCTGGTCTTGGCACTAAGCGACTTTATACCCTCCTCTACTCCAGCTCCAACTGCTCCACTTCACTCTGAGGCAAGCACACTACCATCAACCTACCGATCCCCCGCATCTTTTTCGCGACCAATTCAATCTTGCAATTGCCCGCTCAAAGCGATTCACCCACGTACCAGTCACCGACCAAAAATGAATCAAAACACTAGTCAACAGCAGCTAAGAGCTTCTTCTGCTTATCGCAGCCCATATGGTATTTCACCAGCGCCCCAGAAGAATCAATTGCCTTTGCTAATTCCCTTAGCTCAACTGCCTCATCCGACTCACTCCTCTCAACCACCAGCACCACCAACTCCACAGGAGCTAGGCTTTGGATCCAAATGGACAATTGCAGATCTTGTATGGATTTCCTCAACCCCCAATGCTCCCTATACCCTGGTTTCGCGTTGACGTGCCCCTCATTCTCATTTGGACCAAGCGCTAACCAGCAATAAGACACTGACACTTCTCTTGATATAGGCTGAATTGGATTCGTGGGCCGATGGATCGCAAGAACGCTTCTATAAGCTATACAAGCAGCCGTTTAGCTTTGCTGAGTTCCGCCTCGACCACCAACACCAATGCCCATGTACCGGCGCTAATCTGAGATGCCTCCAATGCGTGGTTCATCATTACGAAGAAATGTACAATCTCCCGACAATTCTGGCAGCCCGTTCAAAGTACCAAAAGTGGCAGACCAGACCCTTCGAAGCACCCCAAGATCCTCGTCTTATGGGACCGATCAACACACATCTCGCTTTTCTTACGAAATTACTAGCCGAGACAGAAGAGAAGATCAAGAATCACATCGCACTTTACGAAGTGAATGCATACTACAATGCATGACCACGGCACATCTGGCGAAAGCCTGGTCAAAATTCATCTTGTTCCAAGGCGAAGAGCGAGGGGGGGGAGGTAGAGGGGTAATTTGCGTTGGAAGTTGCTGTGAGATGCTGATTCTGGGAAGGTGGACGAGGTTCACTGGGCATATGCCCACTTGGGTTCTTTTCTTCTTTTGTTTCTCTGTATTGCCATACCTTTCGATGGGTATTATGGAGAGCCCCTGTGGGTAATTCGTCGTGTTACTACGATGAAAAATTCTGTTTTTCTGGAGTTGAGCCTGGGGGGGAGGGGGTTGCTATTTGGCCTTTTTTCTGCTGTTTTCTTGTCTCTTTCTCCGGAATGCCATACTTATATGGATAATATGGGGAGCCTCTGTGGGCCCGGCGTTTTTATAGGATAAATTGCAACTGTTTACTCGAAACCAGACTGAAATCTATTACTTGAATAAATGACTATAGAGTGACTGTACTTACCGTAATAATCTCTACTACTATAGAACTCTAAGCTAATGCATTTTATCGTCTTTAACTAGCGCTTTTCTTTAGTATTCTTCCCAAATTAGGTATTATCTATAGTTATCCTATTAGTAGAGCTCGCTATTCGCGCTATTAGCGGCGTTATCTAGAAATAGGTCATAGTAAGAGTTTATAACTATATTAGATTAGTAGGATTATTAATTATTAAGTCGGGTTCCCTTATTATATAAGCTTATAGAACAAACTAAGTTATCTTTAAAGATTTAAATAACTAATAAATAGAAACCTTATTATTCTAAAACATTTTTAATTAAAGATATTTAGCTCTGCTTGTTTTAAATTAGTAGAAAGAATAACCTATATTGTGACCGTGTGGAGTGAACCACTGCTTGCTGTGATGAATACTGAGTCAAACCGGAAACTGCTATATTGAACGAACAACTAACTGAGAGAAGAAGAGAGTTCCAGAGGAACGAGAGCCTAAATACAGGAGTCCAGTAGCACGCACGGGCCATGCTACACGTGATCCGCCCCCAGTTCCTCCAACTCCGTAACATATATTACTTTAAAGAATTTAAATAATAAGTTTAATAAAGACTATATTATTCTAAAGGTATTATAATTAGAGTTTAAAAGATTTAATAGTTTTACATTAGCTTAAAGTATAAACTATATTATTTCAAAAGATTTAAGTAACTAATTTAATATAAGTTATAATTATTCGTAGATATCTAATTATTTTATATTTACTAATGAATAAACTTAAGTATTCTAAAAGGTTTAGATAATTATAATATTAGTTAGTATTTCCTAAAATATAACTGTGACCGTGTGGAGTGAACCACTGCTTGCTGTGATGAATACGGAGTCAAACGGAAACTGATATGTAGAGCGAACAACTAAGTGAGGAAGGAAGAGAGTTCCAGAGGAACAGAAGCTTATATACAGGCTGCCAGCAGCACGCACGTGCCGTGCTGCTACACGTGATCTGCCCCCAATTCCTCCAACTCCGTAACAATAACTAGGACCTTCTAATATAAAAGTAAGAATACTAACTTTATTAGTATTTTTATATCTATATTATTCTACTTCTATAGTATTTAAAAATATATAAATAAAAACTATAGATCTAGAAACTAGTTACTTATAATTTACTCTAAGAAAGGTTTATAATACGTTTTAAGTAATAAAATTTAGAAAAGTAGAAATAGTATATAAAACTTAATATTATTAGCTTCTATTATCTAACTTAAGTATAAATATTTATTTAAACTAATAACTTACTTTATAAGAGATATATTACGTATAGAATAAGTAGTAATTATAAGTAAACACGCTCTAAGGAGCTTAGATTAGACGAGGAAACTCTCTATATATATAGGTAGAATGTTTAAGTGTTATATGGCTATACGTAACCTCTCTTTCCTACTTATAATAGTTGTATAAGTGTTTAAGCTACCCGAGTATTCTATAAGCTATCTAACTATCTCCTAGATAGCTAGGGAGATTCTTTAGTAAGGTTTTGGTACTTTAAATCTCCGTACACTAAAGAATTATAGCAAAAAACCTGTACACGTCCTTGATCTACGTGAAAATTCCCCCGGGCTGTCTAGGAGATACTATAGAACCTTTCTCTGCCCTCCCTCTACCTGCTCTATACTCTCAGACTTTGTGAACTACCTATAAGTACTTGGTTATCTCTACCTGTTACTACTTATTCCTACCTATAAGTACTGAGTTGTTTTTCTATGTTCCTAAATATAAGTCTCTATCTATTTTCCTTTATCTCTACGATACATATATGCGCCCCCTTCTCTCTCCCCTTCTTTGTCTAGGTAGGTAGACATTTCTTAGTATATAGCTAAATAGACAAATAAAACAAGTAAATAAAAAGGGTACGACTTTAAGCTTCTAGTAACCGACAGAATTATATAGTAGGAAGATTTGTATCTTATTACGGGCTTTCGCTCTAGTAAACAGAGGCCGGAAAAGTTGTCCTCTATTTAGTGTAATACTAGTAAAAAAATCCGACTTCTCCGCCATAATTCCGACAGGGTACAGCGAAACCTTGTTTTGAAAATTGACCGGACAAAGTCCAGTCGAAGGTCCAACGAACTTCCAATTTCTTTTAATCTCGATAGCATGTATCTAAAAAGATTTCCCACACAACTTTAACCACAAAGTCGTGAGGACTAACATGATATCTTCCGAGAAAATTGAGATGACATATTCGCAATCCATAGATATCTGCTCGATTTCCTCTCCCATTAAGATGTTCTCTTTCTTCTTCTTCTTCTTCTATATGATGGTCTAATTCATGCGAGTAGATGATCAATAATCTCAATATTCTTCCCTTATTGAGGATTTCCATGTTATGATTTGCACCTCAACTCGTATGCTTAGTGATGTGAGAGACTAACTTGGTTGGTTTGACCCTCTCTCCTATTCTGATGTCTAACCTTCGGCAGGAGTTATTCAACCGAATTTAAGTTGGAGGACGTAGGTCACCACAGAGACCGGTGGTACTAATCAAAGTACTCAAACTATTGCCCGTATTTTGTCTTATCATTCTAACCAGATATCTTCTACATCCTCTCCGTTTCGGGGACCCTGGCCCACGGCAACAGCAAAAGAGAAAACGCGCCACAACTTCGCCGTTTAACGAAGAAATAAAACTAGTAAAGGTGTACATGGGTGGTATTTCTGTTAGCTGAACATCGAGGAGCGCAGTTTATGTATACTCTCGTGCTCACATGAAGCCCGAAACGTACCTGTAATACGTATAAAGCAAACTCAGATAACTGGAGAATTTCAATTCCTAGTAGAATTTCCAATAAACATTGAATCCACACACCTACGAAGCAGCAATGCGACGTGTATATATAACCAAGAGTAGAAGGATTTGAGGCTGTTGGTGGTAGGGTATATAATGGTGAAAAATGATGGTGAAATATAATAATAGTATTTAGTAGTATCACTAGTTTTATTTTCATCAAATTTAAATAGAAAGTAAAAAATAGAATTAAGTAGTACACAAGTTGTACACAAGTTGTACACAAGTTGTAGCCGCGAAAAGGTTAGATAGGTGGTATTTCTGTCGGTATTGATGAACCAAGTGATAGTTTAGTCGTTTACAGTTTACAGTTTACAGTAAGTAATATTGACTACAAGATCAAGCTTAATCAACGTCTGCTTTGAAACAAACCAACTACACTGTTAAATCTAGACAAGGACATTAAGCCGACAATTTTACCTAAAAGCTTCGAGTGCGAAACAGTAAAACTTCATACGTTCTTACATTCTACAGGTGTTTTTACTCTCTTAAATTATATAATTTTCCCATTCTTCTTTGTTACAGTTTACAGTGGCGAGTTCACAAACTCACTATGTTTTTTTGGTATACCAAAAAGCGGATTATTCCGCCCTATAAATACCATGGTGGGCCACAGTGGAAAGTGGGTGGTATGTTAAACTTAATACTTCAGCACCTGGTATAACCCGAACATTAGCACAAATACCCGCATAATTACTAGCATGTAATATAAATCCTTTGCCAGAAATAGATTAGAAAGATTTCCTAACGAATTCCTCTTCCAGCAGTACAGGTTTTACTATGCTAAACAAGCCGCCTGTACCAAATCCTCTTTAACTTGTGTACGGAGTAAGTAAGCTATTACGCAGCGAACAGAATAAGGAATGGAATATGCTAACATTTCCTTTGGAAAGTAGCATGCAGAGGTAGGGATAACAGCGAATTCATGTTGTACCCCGCAATCAGGGTTATTTGAGTCATAAAATCCCTGCAATCCTGTACCAAGACTTAGTTTGCTACACCCTGTCGTGGGTTCAAAAGCTTTGAAACGAAATACTTCGAAGTACTTCGTAAAACGTAGGTAAGTATTTCCATGAGCGCTTTGCCAGCCTTTAGGAAGATTTTTTGCATAGGTATTTTTACTTCTACCTTAACCGATATTTTTCCGCGAATGATTTTCCAATAATGCTTTGTTGGCCTGCTATCCTGACCGGAAAGAACACGAAACGTCCTACTTTGATGCGCAACCGTTAACTTAGGACGGCAAGTTGAACTGATGCCAAAAGTGAGAGAAAGTGAGCGGGTTTCGTGTATGGGGGCTATGCAGTTGCGAATGGTGAGGTTTGAAGGGGGCCTGAGCCGCTTAACTACTCTACCGGTAGAACTACCCTTGACTTCCGGAAGAGCTCTGAATTAGGTTAGACGCGTGGTGCTGCTAAGTTAATCAAGCTCAAGGCTCCGTTCCTCCCCTGCATTTGGCTGATCTTCCGGCTCCCTGGTCTTCTCCTCCCTCAAGCTTCGCCAATGGGAATCCCTTTTCTTGACATTGTCGTTGAAAGAACTCTTATTCAACATGCCCAAACCTAAAAGTCTGTTTATAAAAGTTAAGAGCAGGCAGAAATAGCTACAAATTGCAGTGCGATTTGGCAATGCGAGACTGCCTCTTTCCACCACACAAATATCCCCCATAGGGCTCCCTAGTTTTGATTTTTGACACAAAGCGCCGACGAGATGACGAGGCGAGAAAGTTGGTTGTGACCTTCCATATGGGAAACTCCTGTTGGACTATTTGACACCTCGTACCTTGATATCAAACGCCCATACCGTCCGTATTGCGTGCGGCTCAAACCTTTCTAACAACGCAGAAATCGCAATTCCATCAATCAATGATCTTTGTGGTCCCCTTCACCATCGGACGAACCTCAAAGGAGAACGTACAGCTTCTAAAACAGGTGGTTTCTAGGGTCTAGCCCCTTACTTGTTCCGCCAGACATTTAGAGTTTCTAATCCTTCACGTCGCATTCGGGGGTGGCAGCGCTTAGTCTATTGGTTCGCTTACGCCACTCAAACGTCTGAACAAGCTCACCGCCAAGCACGGGCCCCTGAGCGCAACTACCTCTGCCTCGTTCAGCTCAATCTGATGATTTTCGCGAACTGTTCATCCCAAGAGACACGAGATAGCTCCTGAGGGAAGAAGATCCTCGGCATAGCAGAAGCGCTGGAATCGATGCGATAGGCCTGCCAATGTCATCTTGCCGCACTATGGCCCAGTCCTGTCAGATCTGATAGGTGATCTGATGGGGAGGGGGCCGTCGCCCGAAAGTCCAATCTCATGAACCGGGCTAGAATATACCTTTCTGGACAAGGGCCTACACATGAAGCCATGGTTTACCCAAGGTCTCCATTTCCGGTTGTATATAATTTGAACAAGTTTCCCAGCTTGCAACCTTTCTCATCATCCTCATCTTCATTCATTTCAAATACACTTTCGCTAAAGTTCTGTGAACTAGACACATTTTATACAATACACTCTTTACAGTTTGAACCGGCAGGTCCACATTTCACAATCCTTACTTTATACTTCTTACCGATCCAATCAATCAACAAATCCTCTCACAATGTATTCCAACACTGTTCTCATTGCCCTCCTTGCGGCTGTCGTTGAAGCTCGGTATGCATTTCCAAACTTACCACAATTAGCCATGAACATTTTCTGATTCCGATATAGTTTTGGTCAAGAACAAGGTAACGGAGCCATCACTGCCATTGGTGCCTTGGGCGATTTGGGATCTTCTGGCCAAGCAGCCACTCTTGCCGGAGGATCAATCCAATTTTTGTTAGCAGCCGCAAACCCTTGTGCCAAGCTCACTCAAGCCGACAACATCATCACCACCCTCGGAAACAGCGAGAGAGCTGTTGCTGCCGCTCGTGGACTCGTTGCCGCTGAGCAGAACTTCAACCCATTTGTTGTTTCCATCCCTAACATCTGCAACGACCCAACTCTTCCAAAGTCCACCGAACTCCGTGGTGTCCTTCCTTTGATCGACCCTCTTGTTGGTGGACAAGATGTTGCCAATGCCCTGTCCGCAAAGTCCATCACTACTCCATTCGAAGCCACTGGGCTCAGTGTAGCTCAGGTCCTGGTTGCTCAGGGCTTCTCCAACTTCACTGCCGTTGCTGCCGATGGCACTAAGGTCGCTGCATCCACTCTTGGATCTGGTGCCGCCGCTCCTGCCGCTCCAGTGGCTGATGCCCCTGCAGCCGATAACAGTGCTGCCCCAGCTACAACTCCAGTTGCTGATCCAGTTGCCACGCCAGCTCCAAATGTCGATGCTTGTGGTCAAAAGATCATTCCTGTACCAACCACCATGGTCACTATGACCAAGCCAGTAAGTGTCTATTGACTTTCCATAGAATAGTCGTGAAACTAACATCATCTCAGGCGGCCACTGCTACTCCAGCTGCTAACAACTCATCTGACTCCAACGGTGGTGCTGATGCTGGCGTTGCTGGAAAGGGAGCTGTTAAGGACGCCGTCGCTGGAAACTTCGACGGCTTTGTCAAGTCCACCATTGCTGGTCTCGATTTCGGTCTCTGTGTCCCAACCATGAAGTTCGAGGCTGGACTTAACGGTCGTAAGGAAACCGAGAACACCTTCCAAGCCATTGACCCTCTCGTCAACAAAGGTCAACAAGAGGCTCTTAACTTCAACATCATCACCAACCGTATCAAGGATCAGATGGTCAACGTCTGTGGTGCCAACCAGGCCGCTAAGGACGCTGTCGCCGCTGCTAAGGAGAAGATTTCTGCTCTCGGAAAGGAGGCGGCTACCGCTGATGCATGGAACACCGAGCTTGGATTCGCTGGAACCAACATCAACCCAGATAACGCACCACAAGCTGGTTTGGTTGGACACGCTGCATAATTGCACTTTACCACCCAAAAAACTTCGACATCTCTTTGACGAGACCTTTTTAGAACTATGAATTACGATGAGGAATGGATGGGGTGAGGAGATGTATATTGTAAATTTTAATCCTGAAGAACCAATGAGAAATTACATTATTGTCATACGTTGTTGCTGTTTCCCAGTGCTTGTGATGTTTGTCATTTGCTTGTCTCATGTTTTTGGACCATTTAATTGCCAAGGCCAAGAATGTTGCCAAATTTTGCCTAAAAGCTTGGTTCATGAGGGTTCTCGTTTCGCTTCCGTGAGTGACCGGGTCTTTTCTCCGAAGTGCATCATCCCTAATTCGTGTTCATGATTTCCCTAATTCTTCAACCATGGTGTCTGTAGTGCTTTTCTGTGTTTTCGCCTTGGACAGAGGGTACGGGTCGTCTGGTGGCCTGAGTGGCAACGTCCACCGTTTTCTGAGTCATGTGATATCTTTTTGTCGATAGGCGCTGCTGAAAATGGGCAACGGAGCTATCGGTATTCTGATGTGAAAGTCTCGCCACCAATACTTCCGTACCTACGAGGAAATATATCCCTGCGGGCAAGAATCAAGTTGGATTGTTTTCATCATGTGACGAGTTTTCAGGATAAAAACAAAACCCCCCACCGAGGAATCTCCGCCCCTTCCTCCCTCATCTCCCTGAAACGATGTTCACGCTGACGAATTGGGCAGGTATGGAGTACCGATAAGCAACTAACGATGAGTGGCCCAGTGGTCTGTTTCGAGTTAATGCCAAAAAAAAGTTCTCCATTGTGAAATTGTGCAAAGTTGGTTGTGGATCATCGTGAATCAAATCTTGTGTTTTCGATTCTTGGGGGATTCGTGGCTTGACGCCCGATATGTTGCCATTTTTGGAACCTTTCATGCTTGCTCGGCCTCGTGAGACGACAGAGGAAGAGAGGAAGGCCCAAGGATCCGCGAGGTATGGGGAAACAAGATCTCTGCGACCACTCACCGTCGTCCTAATCATTTTTCCTCCAAACATCGTCGGGTTTTGTCCGGGCGAGGTCCACCTCAACCATTGGAAGCGAGCCGAAAAGGGATGTTGAGATTAAAGAAAAGTGCTAAAGTTGGATTCAGATGAATAGCCTCATCAAACACCCGGAAATAGCATCCCACGACCATGGTCAATCGTACGAAGTAATTGGGCTCGCAAGTGCCATTGCTCCCCAAGATGAAAAAGGTCGCGATTCCCTCATGTTTTCGGCTTCTTTCTTTATCGCAAGGTTTCCTCGCACCCGGTCCTTTTGTACAGTCCAAGTCTCTCAAGTTGCATAGTTGTGCGGGTCTCTAGCCTCGACGGCACCATATCTTCATACACTCTTTAGTCCCAAGCCAGCAGAGATCTGAGCTATTCCAGTACAGTACATCATACAAATTTTGGCAAGATCAACAAAGCTACGGCCCTTACTTAACTCATACACCCAAACGGTATACCCTTATATTCACACTCATACAAGCCATCAAAATGCGATCCTTCGCTACAAGCCTGGCCTTCGTGGCTGGAGCTTATGCTCAATCAAAAGCCTCGGCCGACGTCAACACCGGCATTACATTTCAAGCTTATTCGGATACAGCAGGTAGTGGATTTTCTTTTGGTGCTGCGGTTCCAACAACTATCGGAAGTGATTTTATTGGACAAATTGTGAGAGCTTCCCCCCGGGTACATGGAAACTCGCTAACGGGTTCTACAGGTTGCCCCCAACAATGGAAGTGGTTATGCTGGTGTTGCCTTGACTCCATTGATGGCAAACAGTCTTTTAGTTATTGCATGGGCCAATGGAAAAGATGTTGTCGGTTCAACATATACAGCTAGGTAAAATATAGAAGTTCCGTCTCTCCGGCATCAACTTACATCACCCCAGCGGATATACCTCTCCAACACATTACAGCAATGCCAGTGTATTGATCGAGCCAATTGCGAAAGGTACATTCACGAATGGCACACACTTGTCATATACCTTTTTGTGCAAAGGATGCGTTCAAGGAGGCATTACTTCGTTCTCCTCCAGTGCCAAAGACATCACTATGGGATTCGCCATGTCTAGCACTACGCCAACTAACCCAACATCCGTCGAGTCCGCTGGATTTACCTTCCACAACATTGGATTTGGCAACTTCGGCCTTACCCTCGCGGGTTCCGCAGACTACCCAAAATGGGCTTCAATGGCGACCGCCGTTAGCGCCAGTCCGATTTCAGTACCAGCCAGCGATTTGACTTGCTCGACCAGAAATGTAACCGCGACCGTTTCAAACTCAACCTACGATTACATTATTGCGGGAGCCGGACCAGCAGGAATTATTGTCGCTCAAAGAATGGCTGAGAGTGGAAAATCCGTTCTCTTGCTTGAGGGTGGAAAAGCTTCTACGTTCGCTCAAGGAGGACGAAGTACCGTCAGCTGGAATGACACCGTCACCCAGTATGATGTTCCTTCAATGGCATATTACCTTTCAACGGCCTCAGATACCTCTGAATACTGCACTGATACCGCTTCGCAAGCTGGATGTATTCTCGGTGGTTCAACTATGGTCAACGCCTTGATGTTTGTTCGACCACAAGCTGCTGATTTCAACGACAAATGGCCAACTGGATGGAAATGGGATGATGTTGCAGCTTCCGCCGCGAAGCTGTATGAGCGGAACCCAGGAACAACTCTTGCATCCAGGGATGGCCAAAGATACGACCAAGGTGCCTTCACGGCAATGTCTTCCTTCTTGAAGACCATGGGATGGAGCCAAGTTGATGCCATTGAGTCTCCTAACGAAAAGACCAATGTTTATAGTTTCCCAGCATGGGATATTCAGAAAGGTCTCCGTGCTGGTCCTGTCACCTCATACCTCCCCCTTGCTCAAGCCGCGTCCAACTTCAAGCTTACTTTGAATACCAAGGTTCTTCGTGCCATCCGAAATGGTTCTGCCATCACCGGTGTTGAGACTCAAGATTCCACTGGTGCGCGACAAATCATCAACGTCAATGCCGGTGGGAAGGTTATCCTCGCTGCTGGTACCATGTCCACTCCCCGCATTCTTATCAACAGCGGTATTGGACCAAAGGCTCAAATCGACATTGTTTCCGCTAGTTGCACCGGCATCAAGCTTCCAGCTGAGGCTGATTATATCAACCTTCCTGTCGGCGAAAATCTTCGTGATCACCCAGTTTTCACATTGACCTTCAACATCACGGATAACTCCAATGCCTCTACTTCCATGGTAGCATCGCAATTCACAAATCCAAGCACCACTGATATCGACCTCTTCGCTAAGGCCAGTGGACCTCTTGCGCAGAGCGGACAACGTCTCAACTTCTGGACCAGTCTCAACGGCACAAGCGGTACCCGTTTCTTCCAAGGAACCGTCAACTCCCCATCTGCTGGTCTTGTACGTGCTAAAATCTACCTCACCCACGGTTCCACCTCCAGCGGATCCTTGGGAGTGACATCCACCGGCTCAACAAAGTTTATCACCGAGCCACTCATGAACACCGACGAAGATAAAGCAGCCGTCGTACAATTTCTCGACTCAATGATTAACAGCGCTAAGAACTCATCTGTCTTGAGTCTTGCCTCTCCCACCACTGGTTCGAAGTTGGTCTCATCTTTCACCTCCGGTTCCCACTTTATCGGCACAGCCATGATGGGAGCTTCCAACGATGGGAAATCGGTTGTTGATACCGATACCAAGGTTTTCGGAACTGACAACCTTTTCGTTGTTGATGGGAGCATTCATCCTGATTTGCCTACTGGTAATACTCAGGCTATTATCATGGTAGCTGCTGAACATGCTGCTGCTAAGATTCTGGCTCTTGGATCTGGATCTGGATCTCTGTCTAATGGAACTTCCACGGCTACCAACTCTCCTTCTGTCCCTGTAAAGATTGGAAGTGCTTCGGCTTCTGTTTCTGCTGCTCAAGCAACCTCTGCCGTGCCAGCCGCTCCTACGCCAGCTAAGGGGGATGACGCTTGCGCGTAAATTACCATTGTATGGTACTGTTCCTAGTTTGAAAACCTATCATCTTCGCATTCTTCTATATATATTATTAAATTCCCAGCACATAGATAGATTGATACCCATTTCAATGGATTCCCATTTTACATATTACTATTCTCGCTTAGGATTATTCTGCAAGTTTTTCTCTCGTTCTTCACCCGCCTTGATGCTCTCTTATCTGCACATCTCAAGAATCCTTTCCTCGAGAAAACTGTGATACAGACTTTCCGGCAGGTTCGAAACATCTCTAGATGCGTCTGCCTCGTGCTGCTCACTTCCCATAGCTTCACCATGATCATTCTCCACCGCAACTCCCTCCTCCACCGCGCGTTCGTTACAAACACACTTAAGCGCACAAACACACCTAAGTTTCTCCGGACCCCCAAGCCTCACTATCGTCTCAATATGCTTATCACTACTAACCTCCAACAACGACTGCACAAACACCCCCGCCTTCTGTCCATGAACCTCATTCTTATCCAACTCCCTAACCATCCACTTCGTCACCGAGTCCACATACTCCCTCATAATCCGCTGCTCTTCCAACAACATCTTCTCCTGCTCTCGCCACGCCCTCTCGGACGATCTTAGACGCTCGCACCAGCATAGAAACTTACCACAGTCCATTTGCGCCTGCAGCTTGTCGGCTTCTAAGGTTTGGTTCGCGCGTTCGAGGGTTGTTCGTGCTTGTTTTTCTGCGGCGAGTGAGGAGGTTAGACGTTGGTTTTCTGTGAGGAGGGTTTGGTGCTCGTTATTTTGTTGGTGGGTTTCCTTGGCCCAGGCCCGGCGGGCGAGCGAGAGTTCGGTTTGGAGGTTTGTGATTTGGCGTTGGAGGTTTTCTTCTTTGGCGAGCCAGGTTGCTTGGTCTTGGGTCGGGGTTGGTGGAATGGAAAGGGACAATTCTTCACTGGTAGAATCGTGGGTGGTTTGTTCGTCTGCGACTTCTTCCTGAGCAGAGTCTACATTAGCCGGTTCATCTTTCATGGCTTCCTCCTCGGTGGTTTCCTTGGAAGAGTCTTCTCTGGCAGCTTCCTCGATAGCCTTTAAATTTGTGAGTAATCGATTGTTGATACCCATCATTGTTTGTTCATGACTCTCCAGAATACCCCTTTCAATCTCTCTCGCCTGCTCTGCAATTTCATATTTCTCCTGTAGCCAAGCATTTTGCTCATTCGCAAAAACAAGTTCTGTATGCATCAGCTGCATTTCGCTCTTCAATTCAGACAAGTCATGCAACATTCGAGTAATCGCCTCCTTGCATTCATCATTGAGCATATCTGCTGTGAGATTACCTGCTTCCTCGAGCAAAGCAGTTAACTCGCTGTTCTCTTGGACGACTTTTCTGTAATCGTTAACAAGACTATTATGCTCATGAGCACCCTTATTATGATCCTCAACCAGCTTATGTCGCTCATTCACAACGATATTGGTCTGCTTGCACAGCAACCAAGTCTGGTCCTTGATCTGCTTATTGGACAGCTCCAAAACCCTACACTTCTCATCGCGAGCCGCAACCTCCGCGAGGAGATCCTGGCAAGCAGCATGAATTTTGTCCTCCACACTCTTGGAATTCTTGATCTTGTGAAGGTCTTCGCACTTTCTTGTTAGTCTTGCGTGTTCCTTTTTCGCCGCAGCGTTGGCTTCCTTGAGCTTCTCACATTTGAGACGGATCTCATTCGACCAAGTAAACGCGTCACGTTCCCATCTTCGGGACTTGGCCTCCATTTGCTTCTCTCGTTGGTATGTGAGTTCGAGACTCAAGACCTGATGAATGCATACTCGTTTCCAGAAATCGATCTGATATGAATCTTTCGGACCAAAAGGACCCTTGAGAAAGTCTTCACCTTTTTCTTCGACGAAGCTCTTGATTAGTTTGAGGATGGTGGGTGCAAATGCTGAATGTAATGCTTGTCGATCCATGGAATTTTGATCAGCTGGTTTTGCGTCTGCTGCAGATGGGGGGACTCGTTCAAGAAGAGGTACAAGCTCCTCGTAGATGTATGAAGTGTGCCGTTTGGCTTGTTCGTGAGATGCATTGGGATAGAAACGCGTAATGATTTCGTCGCGAAATCTGTGGAGGAGCGCTTGGACGGAGGGATGGAGTCGCCATCTCACGTCACTGACTGGTCGGCTGATACCATGAGGAGCTACCGTTGGGTCGATAGTGATCTCTGGAATGGGAACTGATAATGGTGAAGCTGAAGGCGTGGTACTTGGTTGGAAATATTCTTCTTGCTGGCTTGGCAGGCTTGCGGCTTGTTCGACGGGTCTCTTCTTCTTCTTGGTCGCCTTTTTGCGATTCTTGGGCGGCATGGTGGGCGATCGCGTTACTGTAGAGCTTTGCAAGATTGATGGTCAGGTTGGTTGAGTTGAGAAAGGACTCCTGGTCCTGAGGTGTTGGTGGGAAAGTAGACGGCCGATTAACCGAACTATTAACCTTACAGATCAGGCATCCTATGACTCTTCACTCTTACCTACGGATTGAGAGACTTGAACCTTCCTTCATGATTTCTGCACTAAATTTAGTAGTATACATTCCCAAATCTATGGTCAACTACTAGAACCACAGTTCTATTCTCGTTTCCAGCATCAAGGTCATCCAAACCACCCATCTCACTCCACGCTATCCAATTCACTCTTCTCTTCCCAAACAGGTCAGAAAGCTTATTTCCTCTTACAAAATCTCAGAATATCATACTTTGTCGCTTTATAATAGTGAATGATTATTGGCTAGCTCCAAGCGTAGCTACTCCTTCGGGACTAGCGTACTATGACATCTACAAGTAAGAGACGTGGTCGCTACTCTATACACACCTCTCTTGGAATAAAATTATTTCAAAAGCGTCGTACAACTCAAATAGTTCTATAAAGAGTTTAGAATAATTGTTACTGGTTACTTTTTATTTGCCTAGGAGTCACGACCTGGTATCATACAGTACACAGGGACTTAGCTATATAACTAAACTTACTTCGGCATACATTGCAACATCCGAGACTTAATTTTTACCATAGTAATATATCTCTTTTGCAACACCCACTTAACTAAATAAGTCAGACAACGTACTTACAAACCATCTTTATCCACCAATCCTAAGCATACTTCTTAATATCCTTCCCAGTCTCCTGAAGCCACATTACAGTACATATCTTGATTCATGTCACGTACTGGGTATGGGGGACAGTCTCGTGTTTCATTGCCACGTGACGTACCTCAAATCCCACTTATGTAGCAGAATTTTCTCGTCTAATTCCAGGCTCCTTAGAGCATTTTCAACCTACTTTTGACAGTCCATTTGTACGCCATAATTCATGATATACTAATATCGTAATACAAACTTGTCCTTTTGCTCCCTGTTAGTTTTTAATTCGTTGAGTGAGTCTATTTGATTTCGATAGTTTGGTTAATGGTTTGATCATAGGACTTTAACGAAGACTTGATAGAGTCATGGACTATTTTTATGTAAATCACTAGAAACCCCATTTATTGTTCGCTACGAGTAAGTTGGAGGTTAAGCGATAAACATTAGACATTACTTAAACCATGTTTTAAGAGGAAGGGAAGCGAAGTACGGTATGACAAGTATAGTATCTTACCCAGACCAGACCAGACCAGACTAGACCAGCTAAGTTCCTTCCAAAACGAAAACATATCCACAAGCCAAGTACTCCCACACTATAAAATCATCTCATAAACATTAATTAAATAAAAATAGAATTACAATTACCATAAAACCCCTAAGCTAAAACCGCATAATCTTTCTTCCTTACACCCAACCTAAGCCCACTCAAAGTGCTCCGAATGCAAATACACCCCTCCCCCTCCCCCTCCCTTCACAATCTTAAGATTCTCCCCCGCAACCGCATTCCGCACATCATTCTGCATCGTCGTCGGTCCACAAACATACACACTAAGCGTCCGTCCCTTCTCTGCCTCCTCCGTAATAATCGCCGGCAAACCAGGCCGGCCCTCGAATTCGTGCGTCGGGATGGGGGCGGTGTGTGGTTTATTCTTTTTCTTATCGTCCTCGTCGTTGGAGGATGAGTCGGTGGAGCTGGTGGGGTGTAACTGGATATTCTGGGAGTCGCCTTTGTGTTGGGCGGCTTCGCCGGTGAGGTAGACTTGGACGCGGATGTTGGTCTTACCCTGGGAACCGGCCCGGGATTGGAGAGCGTCTACTTGCTGGAGGAACCAGATGCGGGTGGTGAGGTCGCGGGTTGAGAGGATGACGCGGATGGAGAGGGGATGGGTGATGTGGCTTTTGGTTTTGCTGACTTTCTCACTGGGAGGAGTTTCGTTTCTGTCGACTGAGGAGACTAGGCCGTGCTCTTCGTCGGATCCGGATGCGCTGGATCGCAGGTACTTTTCAAGGAATGGGAGACACCAGCCTGCACCTGAGCCACCGGCAATAACGAGAATCTCATCGCCATTGTGGTATTTCCGTAAGTTGATGCCTCCATATGGACCATCTACTTGTACGGGTACCAAGGCACAGGGATTCCCCACCGCATAGTCGTATAACTTGGCCGTGAACCCTCCCTGACGACGAACATAAAAGACGAGTTGAGAAGGCTCGTCTGGTCTCGTAGAAGGTAAGGAACAAACCGTGAAAGGATGAGCAGATATCGTGTTAAGAAATCCAAAGCTCGTGAAGCGTAGGAAGAAATGATGTCCTGGTTCCCAGTGAAAGTTGGCTGGGATGGTAATGCGAATGAAACCATTGGACTCAGCACAGATCTCGGCCTTTTGGCAGAGTCCATATTCAAAACAGGTTCGGAGCCAGGGATATATAAAACAGGGAACGTATACAGCGGCTGTACCAATAAAGTAATCCCTAGGAATTTATTAGATGTCACGATTAATGAGGTGAAGAGTGTAGATTCATACCACGAGGAGAGAGTAAAGCCACAGTGCCAGAAGAAGGTTATCATGAATATGACGACAGCAATGAAATGAGTTATCTTAAAGAACTCATATCCCAAGTTCCTGTTATTCAGTTAACCTTTGCTCTCCAACGCCAGCCATACACAACTTACCGAATTGTACTGTGGGAGGCGAATGTAAGCCAGGCCTGGAAAATCAATGCAACAATACCAGTCCAGTAGAATACGAGACTTGATGCAAAGTGACTCTCCATATCATGCCATCGAATGTGATATACGATAAATGGAAACGTGTGAATGAGTGCCAGCACAAAAAAAGCATAAGAAATCCATCGATGAAAAACTTGGAGTCGTTCATGTGAAACTCCAGTGAGTAATGTAATCCAGTTTGTTTTACTGGCAGTAGCACTGGATTTTGTGAGCAAGGTACCCAAAACGGAATAAGTCTATTCAACTTACAAAACAAATGGCATGCATGCCAATGCCAACCAACCTGCTCGTGTTGCAAGCGGTGGAGAACCTCCAAAGTCCAGACTTGGCCAGTAATAGGGTTGTGGTATCAGAGTAAACACTATTCACAGGTCAACATATCATCCCGTGGGACAGAACAGATGGCAACTTACAGAAGAAGAAAAGAGTGCCAGCAAACCCTAACAACAACACACCAATTGGAGCAGAATTCCACTTCAACGACTTTAAGTGAAAACCACGATACGACAAGTATCGAATCGCCGCAGTTGGTTTACTCAACAGACGTGATATCGACGAGACACGATATCCCAGAAAGATTGATGATACAACATGGCCAATGATAAAGATTCCAATAGCGCACATGAAGAACCCTATCGTGGGTAGCGAAAAAACGAGATCAGCAATATACCTACAAAGAAAATCGTCAGCCATTCGATCCTCCTATATCTCTTCCAAACTCTTTGTTTCTCTTACCAGAAATGCCATCTCTGCATGTACCAAGCACATTGTTCCTCCGTGAACCCATCACAAGTAAACTCACGACTGGAATGTAATGTGACGGGTCCCATCAACCACGCGGGGTTCATTTCCTCCATGTGCATCGTTGCGGTGATTGTTGATGCAAATAGCAACAGTCGTACGGTACAACCTCCAACTTTTTACAACAGATGGACGTGGTCTGTAGCTAGTTAAATGTGCAGGTCCGGATGAAGATTCAAGCCTAGAGCCATTGCAAGGTTTATGGCTGAATGGGAATAATAAGCGAAGAGCTATCGAGCAGTATTGAGGTACTTTGAGCGGGCCATGTACAGTATTCTGCCTAGCGTGGGCGAATTATGAGCGCGTTATTAGAGATTCGTGACAGATTGGGGGGTGCGGTGAGTGTGGACCCCGGAAGCTTGAGTGTATTTGAGCAAGTTTCTCACCCCCACCAAGGCGCATTGACAGCCCTATTTGGCGAGAGACTTTGACTAAAATAGCTACAAACAATCAGACTTCCTCCAATTTACAGTGTTGTTTGTTTGTTAATTGATCACATCCACTTCTCCCGGATTCCTTCTCAAATTAACCACATTAATACACAATTGTACCTACAATTGTACCTACCATTGACATAAGTTATTCAATCCATTCAATTCAATTCCATCCTCCAACCACAAAAATGGACATGACACACGGCGGAATGGACACTCCAACAGGAAGCACAGAGATGGGACACGGCGGCTCAGGTTTAATGGGAATGGACACCATGGCCATGACATTCTTCACCTCCACCACCACACCCCTCTACTCGCTGTCCTGGTATCCAGATTCCGCAGGAAAATACGCGGGGACCTGCATCTTCCTCATCACCTTCGCGACCATTTTCCGCGCCTTATTGGCTGTGCGGTTAAATTTCGTCGAGGTGCTTGCTATCATTAAATTTGGGCGGAAGGAGGGTGTCATCTATCCGGATGACCATCAGAGGATCCGTCCTTGGAGGGCGAATGAGGCGGTCACTTTGGCGGCGATGGATGTTGTTCTTGCTGGGACAAGTTATCTTTTGTGAGTATGGGGATTTTTGCGTCTTGAAAAGGTGCTGATTTTATGATAGGATGATAGCGGTCATGACTATGAATGTGGGATATTTCATCTCCGTTCTCGCTGGTGTTTTCTTGGGTAGTGTGATTTTTACTCGTTTCATGGCTTATTCGGCGGCTCATTGAACGCTCTTTCCATTTGTTCACGATAATTTGAGGGCAACTTTTCGCCTTTCACGGCTTGGGGGATTTAATGGGGTTATGGCAAATCGGACTTGCACCATTCGCCAGTTCAATGGAAATGCCTGGGGCATGTTCAGGAATTTTGGGAGTTCGTGAACCCGGGCGATTGATACAGTGGGGTACATTTTACGAACCTGATGAGTCCAAATTGAAGATGGAGGAAAGAGGTAGTTCACGCAAATTCTTCAAAAGGTTATTAATGCCCCGAGATACTCAAGTATCTCCGCGTTTCTCAGTCCCACTAATCAAGCTTCCGGGGCTTTACATAAGATTCTGTATTCTACTTGAACGAATTTCTACAAAATGCCCAGCTATCATGATATGCAAATAGCGTCATATTGAAATTTGCAGGCGGTGAATTACGGGGGCGACTTGTAGTAACACCTTCTCACCTTCTCTCGCTGGTACTGATGGTAAAGTGATACATAATCACACTCTCACAGATTCAAAACCCAGCTCCCTCCCAATGTCACATGAAAAAGCAAAAAGCAAAACTGCCCCCTTTCCCAATAAACCTACAATCCTTGTACTGTACAATCTACTCCCTACACCCTTCCAATATTTAACTAGTACTACCTTCTTTCCAACTTCCTCCCTCCCCATACAACGTAAAGAGTAAGTCTTCCACACACGTCTTAAAAACCAGCTCAAACCATCTCACATAACAAAACATCCCCTTCCCGCTCCCCTTCCCTAGCAAACCAACAATCCTGTACTATACAAACAATTCACAACAGCCTTCCAGTGTCTAACCAGTACCACCTTCCATCCAACTCCCTCCCTTCCCGAGTAACTAAGAGTAAGTAATCTAGCTAAGTTCTAATCTCGCTCAAGAATCAAGACTCTAGGCCTATACTTACTCATACCCTTCGGCAAGTCTTGGCGATTTGTATGAAACCTGCTCAAATGAGCGCTAGCATGTGAAATAACGGTGAAATGGCGAGATGTGGGAGGTTCAGGGTGATAAAGTTGTTTTATTCATAGGTGATTCGTGGTATTTAGTTATATTTATGAAGGAGTGAGTTGATAATATTATTAGTAAGAAGTAACTTGGAAAAGTGGATGATTATATGTAGTTAATATATCTAAACTTAACTAAAGTACCTACCCCCTTTTCTCTCCTTTTCCCTCCCTCTTCGCCCTCTCCCCCTCCTAAAAATCCCCTCATTTTAATTAAATTCCTTCTCGATACTCTCCGCTCTCTCTAACATCCCTCTAGGAACCTAGGAGCGGACATTATCCGTCCCAACTACCAAGTAACTAATCACAAAAAGGTAGGATAAGTACCTATAGAGATATAATTGCTATCCATTAACCTCCTCCTCGCGGTGGGTGGATCGAACCTGAACCCAAGGGTTGTATTTGTAGTAGAAAAAAGCAGTTAACAGTCGTCCTTCGGGATAAGTTAGCGTAATAGTAATACAATCATCATTCTAATTAACCTCCTCCTCGCCAACCGCACTATCGGCTCCCGTTACCTAGATACCTAACTTTTCGAAGGGTTTCTACGAGCGTTTACGCTACTTATTAGCTTCAGACTATATAAGAATTACGTTCCTTATAGTAACATGTATTATGTGCTTACTAAGACTTTCATCGACTAATTGGAAGATTTAGTACTTATAGCTTTAGCGGGTAATAGTTAGTACGTTTTTCTACGACGCTATCGCTTATAGTTAGTCTAAGTAAGTACGCTATCTAAGTAAGTACGCTATCTAAGTAAGTACGCCGTCCTATAAGTTTTACTCTATTTATAGTTAGTTTTTAAGCTATAGACTTCTATATAGACTTTTTAAATAAAGCTATTAATTAGCTCTATAATATAAGTTTATATAAGCTAAATCCGACTATAATATATTTATTTAATATTAATAGTAAAGGAAAGAAGACTTTAGACTTACGAAGTACGTATTCGCGAGGGACTTAGTAGGAGTATACGTATTATATCCTATAAAACTAAAAGTTAGCTTAGGTATAGGAATACTAAAAACTTATTTATATTAACGTGGTTTATCAGCGAGTCGATCATATCACCGAGTCGATCACTTTTTCTTGGCACAGAACTTTACACCTAAATAAATCAACCACAATATATTAAATTAATTATCGCTCTCTATATCTGACGAACTAGATATATCTATAACTTCTTGACAAGTTCGCGCGTTATGACCAGCTTTTCCACAAGTTCTACAGCGCCGCCTAGAAGGTTGCCCCTCCTTATAACCAACCCCCGCCTCACGCATGTCGCGTCGTACTTGCTCATCTACATCCTCCTGAGCTAACATATCCTGTACATCCTCTACTATAAGTGCCCCTCCTTGGCGGACACGAGTCTTTTTAGCCCTACGGCGTTTACTTAGGGCTTCATTTGCAGCGCGAAGGGTACGGACCTCAGCAGACAAAAGGGTCATCTCATGTGCCATTCGCTCTGTACCCTTTGCTAACGCAGCAACTGTTTGAAAAAGTGGAGTTGGCGAGCTTCCTTGATGACAGGCTATACGATTTCGTACAAGAGTTGATTGTGAAAGGGCTTCAGTTGGGTTGGAAGGGGTCTGGGACACCCAGGGGAGGGAGTTGGCACTACACGTCCGAGGGGGAGTTGGAGTCCGTAACCTTACGTCAAGCTTTGAAAGCACTGCTTGCGGGTTAAATGGTACTAGGCCAGCTCCGCGGAATCCAGACTGACAGTTTAGGACTGTCATTGTTTCCTTGTATGCTGCTGTAAAGGCTAGAAAGAACTCAACCTTTGTAATATGGTTGATATGGGCCTTGATAAACGTCTCAATCTGCCGACCATACGCTCGTTTTAACACACTATAGCACCCAACATCAAGTGGCTGGGTTAGATGGGATGAATGAGGAGGTAGTCCAAGAGTAATAATGTTGTGTTTCGTACAGTAGTCTTGGAACTCAGCCGATTCATGACTCTCGTGCCCATCCAAAACTAGTATTCGATACAGACCCTTTGCACGAGCTGTAGTGTGTTTATCAAAGTGCTTTAACCATTCCAGGCCTGTTTCATTATTTGTCCAACCATTGCTTGTCGGTTTAATAACCCAGTTAGGTGGGAGGCCGCCGTCGGTATACCAGTTGGAGAGATGGTTCTTGCCCTGAACTACCAAGAATGGAGGAATACTCCAGCCCTCCCCATTAATACAGGCAATTGCTGTAGCCCATTCCCGATTGCCTGGCTGAACTGCCTTGCCTCTACCACGTCGGTCTGCACGAGTAACAACCATTCTAGGACAAATAACACCCATCATAAAGCCTGTCTCGTCGAAGTTGTAGAAGTCGGAGTCTGTAACCCCATATTTCGCCCTCATATTCTCTACTAGCCGGAACCATGCGCCTAGCACGTCAGGATCTTCGCATAAGGCCCTCTGGAAGTCGTAAACGCGATTAAAACGCGTCTTAAGGTCTGGTTGTCGTTGTACGAATCGATGGGCCCAGAGCTTGCCGACGCGTCTTCCCCCCCGCGATTCAAGGATAAAATTAGCCATATCTTCTACACCAGCGAGCCGGGGCGCAAATCCTCTGGAATCCATATCCAGTATATACCGAATAATCACTTCCTCTTCTAACTCAGTCAACTTATGACAATTGGCTTGAGAATCTGGGCGGTAGGTTCGGCCAGCCATTCTGTCGGAAAGAGTCGTATATGGTACATTGTAGATCTTTGCCGCAGAGCGTTTGCTTAGTTTTTTGGACGACCGAATAGCCTCGATAGCTAGAGTAATTTGCGCTTCTTGAGTTTGAATTTCCATGGTAAATAGTTGAGGAAAACGTGTGTTGAAGTTTGAGGAGGTAGTGCCAAGGAAAAGTGATCGACTCGCTGATATGATCGACTCGCTGATAAACCACGTTATATATAATTTATATCTAAAGGTTATAGTTTTTAGATATATAATAGTACTTAATTATAGCTATAAATCTAAATTATTTATATATCTTTCTAGCTAGTAGAAGGGGCGCTATATAGTTAAATAGAGCCCTATACGCGTATAATATAACGTACTTACTTAGATAGTATACTTGTGACCGTGTGGAGTGAACCACTGCTTGCTGTGATGAATACGGAGTCAAACGGAAACTGCTATATAGAGCGAACAACTAAGTGAGGAAGGAAGAGAGTTTCAGAGGAACAGAAGCTTATATACAGGCTGCCAGCAGCACGCACGTGCCGTGCTGCTACACGTGATCTGCCCCCAATTCCTCCAACTCCGTAACAATACTTACTTAGACTAACTATAAGCTATAGCGTAGTAGAAAGACGTACTAACTATTAGTTTAAAAATCCTAAAAGAAAATTAATCTAAAACTCCTTAATTCTCTAATTAGTCGAAAACCCCTTTTACTAATTAGCGTTCGGTATTTATGATTCTATTCTATTCTAGGACCCTTCTATAGAATATTCTATTCTAAATAGTATAACTATTAGACTATACTACCGTATTTATTATTTTATAAGATAATATATTATATATAAAAAATCTATCTAGGGACTAATATAAACCCTATACGCTAAAAAAAGTAAGATCTTAATTATTAATTTTGTGACCGTGTGGAGTGAACCACTGCTTGCTGTGATGAATACGGAGTCAAACGGAAACTGATATGTAGAGCGAACAACTAAGTGAGGAAGGAAGAGAGTTCCAGAGGAACAGAAGCTTATATACAGGCTGCCAGCAGCACGCACGTGCCGTGCTGCTACACGTGCTCCGCCCCCAGTTCCTCCAACTCCGTAACAAATTTTACCTTACTTTTTTAAGGTTTATATTCCCCGCTACTCCTAGCCTTTATATTTTACCCCTAACCTTATTTAATCTTCTTATCATTTAAGCCTATTCCGTATTTATAATTTAGATATGTTCTTATAAGAAGAATAAAACGTAGACTAGGTTCTAAAATCTGTGACGGAGCTGGATTTCATTTGACAGGATTTCATTCGCTTGGCCAAGCACGTGACGAGACTTGGCATTGGAACAACTTAAATAACTTCGCTCCTTTCAGATTCTCTTCTCTCTTTAGTTTTATTTCTTCGTACCTACGGTTTTAGTTCTAGCAATTGATTCAAAAGCTGTATACACTTTATCCTTTGTTGGCATCCGTGACAAAAGTCTTACCCTCGCCATCTAATCGTTAGGAGCGGACAATAAATACCTCCCTATATCTAGTTTCAACTTTATTAGTCTTTGAGAAAGGGTTTTATACTTCGCAAGAATCCCACGGCTACTCCCGCTAGGAGCGGATTATAACTATAACTATCTTATAAATCCACATTACCTTACCTTTTCCCCCTTAAACCCTTACCCCCTCACCATCCCACTATCTCATCTCCTATCCATCTATCTACCCACCCATCCATCCACCACATCAATCAATCAAAGAATCAAAGAATCAAAGAATCTCCAACCAACCAACCAACCAACCAACCAGCCAAAAACCTCATCTCCTCACATCCCCATATCCCATAAAAAGCCCACCACCACCAACCAACCAACCAACCAACCGACAAATCCAAAACGAAAAAGGTCGTAAACTAGGAGTTACAGTACTAGGGTATCTTCATACTCTTCTACGACAAGTAGCGAATATATAGTAAGTTCAGGTTATCATGAACTACCTCGGAATTTGATGTATATATCTATTCTATTCCATTCCATTCATTACCTCTCTACTCCTTAATAACGACCCGTTCACTTCATATTCATATTTATATTCTTCCTATTTCTCATTTCTCATCTTCATACATTAACCCCTTATCATCTCATCTCCTCTCCTCATCTGACTCATCTCGCTAGATATCTATCTACGACTGATTGATCTGACTGACTCATTTTGCGCATGTGAAAAGATTGGTGACAAAAGAAAAGGAAAAAGAAAAAAGGAGAAAAGAAAGGAAAAAAGAGAGAAAAGGGTAAAAGATCGCAAACTAGGTATCCATCCATCCATCCATCCATCCACCAACGCACAAAAACAAAGGAATAGAACTCCATTCATATCCATCCATCATTCCCCTAAAGCACACCCAACCCCCTAACCCATTCCCATTCATAACAACCACCCTACTCCTCCTCTAAGAAACCCATAATCGCCCGAATCCCCCCCGCACCAAGTCCCCCCCTAGGATAACAAACATAAACCGGCTCCTCCCAACACCCCATCTTCGCGCGGAACTCACTTTTATTAGTCAACTTGAACTGCTTATTAATCGCCTCATACGCCTTCCTCAACGCCTTCACCTTATGCTTCCCCAAATTACGGCCGCCTTCAAGGGTACTACTCGCGCCGGTGCCAAAGGTGACTTGTTTGACATCGGTGTCCGCGGCACTGAGACTCTTGAAGGAGAAGAGGATGAGGGACTCGATGGTGCCGGATGGGGCGCCGGGGAACTCGAGGGAGAATTTCACTTGGTACCCGTGTTTGGGGGCCAGTTGGTGGAGGACGCAGATGGCGAGGATTTCGTCCCGAGGGTTGGTGGCGTAGTAGTAGCGGCGGTGTTCTTGGTCGATCCACGGTCGGATTTGGGTTAGGTGGATTTGAGTTCCTTTTCGTCCGGCTTGCCATGATGCGATACCTCCGTCGATTCGGCTTCTCAATTCGTCGGGGATGGCTTTGCCGAATGGGACTTCGATATTCTTGACTCCCTCTTTCTCAGCGTGACGTACTTTACGGGCGAGGTCCTGGTCTTTGAGAGCGGGGTTGTCTCTTGGATTTGCGCGTTCTTCGGCGGCGCAGGCGAGGGTTCGCCAGAGGAACTTTTCCCCTACGTATTCTTCTACTTCTTTGCCTGCAATCATCCAGATGGGTTTGAGTTCTTTATGTTCGCTATGGGATTTGTGTTGTCGGTTATCTTTGAGGAATTGAAGAAATGCGGAAATGATCTGTGGATATTGGGATTTGGCACATAGTGGATCGCCAACTGCAATGGCGAAACCATTGTGGATGATGTAGCCTTGAGCTGCACCGGTAGAAGGATGACGATAGACATTGTAACGTTTGTCAAGCCATGAAGTGTTGGCTGCATCTCCATAGTTGGCAATAAGTTTTTCCAGAGGTTGAAGATGTGCTGTGGGATCAATATCGACGGTTGAAATGATGGGAGTATCAATATCTTCTCTCTCCCATGGTGGATTTGTGGTGCTAGCTTCTTCATGACGAAGTGCGAGGACTGCGGGTTTAGCAGGAAGTGATTTTGGATCTCGAGGGAATAATGATGCAAGTCGAATATTTCCAAGATTAAGGAAGAGATAGGTTAATCTTTCCAATCCAATACCACATCCAGCATGGGGTGGTGCTCCCCACCGGAAACCCTCAAGGTATTCCATCATAGAGTCTGGTTTAATGCCTTGCTTCTTGATTTTCTTTTCAAGAAAAGTAGCATCATGTATACGTTGACCACCACTCAAAATTTCTTGTCCTCTCATAAAGATATCAAAAGAGTTTGTGAATCGATCATCCGAGGGATCAGGCATCGTATAGAATGGTCGAGCAGAAGCAGGGAATTTGTCAAGAATATAGTAATCAGTGTGATACTTTTCCTTGACCAAAGCACCTAATCGCTTTTCTGCCGCCGTAGCAAGATCTTCTGTAACGGATGGTGGGTTACCATTATCATCAACCCATCCATCGTCAATTAACATCTGAACACCATCCTTGAAAGCAATTCTTGGTGTCTCCTCCAGCCACTGTACTTTTTCGTGAGGATAAAAGTGTGAGATGAGATCGATTTCTTTCTCATATCGATCATAGATTCCCTGCCATAAATGTTTGAACATGCCGTCAATAATGTCCAATGCCTCGTGGTAGTGCTCTTCTAAAGCCATTTCCAGATCAAGTCCAGTATATTCAGTCAAATGTCGAGGGGTATTACTATCTTCTGCTCGGAAAACTGGACCAATTTCGTACACTCTCTCAAAATCGGCAGCTATACACATTTGCTTGGCCAATTGTGGAGATTGGGCCAAGAAGGCTGGTCGACCAAAATAATTCAATTCAAAAACAGTGGATCCAGATTCTGTTGCGCCACCTTGCAATTTTGGTGTATGAACTTCGATGAAACCTTTGGTATCAAGATATGAACGGAAAAGATTGCAGATGCCAGATTGAATACGGAAAATAGATTGCGCGGGACCAGTTCTGAGATCCACAATTCGGTTATTAAGTCGAACTCGTTGGGGGAGGGATCGATTTTGTCGGAAGAGATCCATGCTTCCTGTTCCTAGTTAATTTTGACATTTAGATGTGCATGGCAGACTTACCCCGACCATTCATACTTCTGCCATTGAGCCTCGTGGTCAATTGGTCAAGAGAATTCCTAGCATGATCCACGGACCTTCTACCGTCCATCGATTTTCTGCTGGATAAATCGGTGGACATCCGACTTGATGATGGAGTAACTTCCGCAGAATCATCCTCATTATCACTCACATCCTCCTTGTCACGGTTGATGTTTTCGGCATCGTATACGGTGAATGGGACATTCTCCGTCAGATCCCCTACCTTGTGAACTTCCAACACATCCAACTCCCAGTCATGAATGGTGGCATTCTTGACCCGCTTTTGAGACTTTCGTACTCTCGCATGGGCGACAACGATGGTTTCGCTAGGGTAATGTTCGATGCTTCGGACCATGTTTTCGGTAATTCCTTCTGGATTGTATTCTCCTTCTGAAGAAAAATTAGATTTGATTCTTTCTGTAACATTTTGGAACAGAATATGCATACCAATTTCCTCCAAGGGCTTGAAGCTTTGCAGTACTCCCTGGATTGTTACAGTCTGCTGTCGGAAGACAATAAAAACCAGTTTGGCACTCATTCGGCGAAGAGTGTGTATACGCGCTCGAAAAGAGATGACTCGCTGATCTGCTTCTAAAGAATGGTTAGATTGAAATAGCCAACCGGGGCTTGAAGAAGCACTTACTCTCAAAATCCAAATCCTTGAATAGAACGCGATTCTCGTGGTTCCATCTCTTACTCATATTCATACTGTACGGTCGGTACAACTTGGTGAGTTGAGGAGGACCATTCTTCAGAAAGTTCTCATCCTCGATTTTTGCCAGCGACTGTCTCTTTTTGTTCTCTGCCTTGGTGCGTAGTTTGTCAAGACTCTTTCGCTCTCTTTCTGCCCTGATGATCTCGGAACTCTGGCGTTTGGGGTGCAAATCGAGGGAAACGCCCCGCTTTGCGCTTGCAGGTTCGATGCCATTTCCACTGCCATTCAGAGATACTGGGGTCGCAGTACCACTACTCGCATCTACTTTGGGGACCGACTCGCTCGAATTGGTGTGGCTTCCCAAGTCCTTGATCTTTCGAAAGGGCTTCTTGAGGAACGACATGGCGAATTTGGAAAAATCGAAGGCTGTGGAGGAATAGAAGTTCTGTTGGGTCGCCGGATGATAATAAATGGGTTGACGGGGGGAGTCACAGAATCGCAGATGCAGCGAGCTGATAATGCTACTGCTACGACTACTACTCTGGCACCAAAGTGGGCTCCAAGCGCGGAATTCCCACTGGCGAATCAATAGCGTGGGCTGCCGACGGACGATTGGATTCGGCGGAGCTCGACCTTGAATTGATTATGATATCGTGGGCGGAACTTTCGGAATGGGTGAATGGCACCTGATGGGGATGAAAGCGATGTTGGAAGGTTTTCGCGTGGCGCTCTCGCTATGTTTGGGAACAGCGAAGATCCGAAGACACGATGGGAGAAGTGATAGATGAGGGAGAGGAGAGAGGGAGAGCAGGAGGAGAGGTGGACAGGAAGAGAAGGGGATGGAGACTGATGTTTCTATGATAAGATTATCATTCGCTAGCAAGTACCAAGTACTCGAACTGGAGCAGCAGTCGTAGACCAGGCCAGAACTCCCTTTCGTCACTGCGTTGCGACGCCTCTGTGCTCGTACTCTACTCGAGGCCTACGAGGGGCTGCTCTACACCCACTCCACGGCCACTCTACACGTACTCTACCTCAAATCACCGAACCAAGGACTACCGTAGAGAAGATCCCAACCGGATTAACATCTGTGTTATGATCCAGCGACCACCTCTGCCTTGCTCGCCAGTCTCCTCAAACGCCCGCGGCGAAGGATTGGGTGGTCGGAAATCGGTGTTTTGCAGATGACATCAGGGTCCCACCCAGCCGCCCGCCGCCATGCGAAAGGTGCAAAGAAGCATGCTGACCATCCATTCGCGAAAAGCTTGTCGAGTGCAGAGAAACCCACTTCACTTCCCACTTAAGATCCCCAAAATGCCATCACATACCCCCCCAAAACCCCTGCTGTGGAAAGGTTGAAGGTATCATTTAAAATTCCGTAGCTGGGCTGGAGTGCAGGACCTTGATGGATTGTGGCAACGTCATAGGGTCACCAAAAAGAATTGTCACATTCAGCGAGGGAGATCTCGGAGCAAACCTCCGTCTGCAGGTGCAATCGGCGGGCTGCGAACCTGGTGGGCCGGTCAGCCGCCCATGCATGGGCCATTTGTGCCGGCGTCGAGGAACATGACCGTAGGGAATTTCTATTTTGGAAATGCCATATCGATTTTTCTGCTTATCTGATGATACTACGGTACGAAATACATGATCACTAATAAATGGTTGACTGACTTTGTAAGATGCTAAAAGAGGGACTGCATTCCGTTGGTTTCCGTTGGTTCCTTCTTGCGTTCCAACCGTATCAAACCCATCACTCCCAGAAAACCTCCTCTGCGAAAAAAACAGTCAACACACCACCAGCGTTGTCATGAACAAAGTGATTTGTTCACTAACTATAAAATTAGGTAAGTCTACTTAAGCCCATAGATGCGACCACGAACTCTCTATCCCCAGAGAACCCTCAAAACCATCATCCCAACCCCAAGAAGCACATTCCGGGACTCCAAAAAGGTTCCCACCGAGCTAAGTCTCTCACATGTCCCATTATTGCCAGCACACAGCAAAGAGGCATTCAGTCGCGCAGAAATATCACCAACAACACTCCCATCGACCACAAAGCCACAAGGATTTCCCCTCGGCTCCTCCTCCTCGAGAACAGGACAAGCTTCCCCACGAGTCGTAGTCAATTTCTCCTTGATACCAATCGCGCCTGCAAATTCTGGACATCGAGATGTCAGGAAATCCGGAGTGTTACCGATAGCACTGACGGTAAGCACCATGCTACCACTTATTTCATATCCACTCGCACTCATCGGCGATGAGGAGACAATAGCATGTCCAGCTGTACACTTCTGATGGAAGCCCATCGACCAGTTTAAACTCCATTTCTTCGCTGTGCTGCTAGGGATTTCTGGTGTATTGGTGGCCAGTACGTAGGCACCGGATGCTGTGAGGGTGGTGTTTTGCCAAGTATCATGGTCCAGAGTGTGAGTAGCTGTATTGTTTTGATGGTCGAGATCTTGAAGGGTCCATTGAACCCAAAATCCGTATGGGATTGCTGTTGCTGCGTTTTGAATGGCAGAGATGATGGGAAAACTCGATTGTCTCTGGTATGTTTCGTTCCTGGGGAGTATGGTGTCTAGTTCCACGGTGCTTGGTAGCTGCTGAGCCGTGGCAATGGCTCGGAGGAAGACCGCGACTCGAATGCATATTGACCAAGATATCATGACTGTTGGTTTCGATTCAGAGACTCAGCAACATCAAAGAGCTCAAGCAGTAAAGACATCGTGGGAGTCGTCTGGTATATCACTAGATTGCCAACATGAACAGAATTGAAAATGTGAGGGGAAGTTCTAGATGCATGTTAGCAGTAAGGCTGTGCTGTTGCTGTCTGTGTCACCAATACCACTTATGGCAGGAAAACCATCCCAAAGAAGAGATCCAACGCAAAATAATTAAATATGAGAACTTCAGAACCAATGAAACAGAGACTTGATGTTGGTTCACGGCGCAATCTGACCCGATTGATTGAAACGATTCGCACAAATGGAAACTTTCCGTAGTTGGGAGAATATATAATGAATCTAAGAAGATTTTCTAGCGGTGAATACGAGAAGAGTGAATTAATGAAAATGAAAATCTATTCACGACATTTGCTGGTATTGTTCTTCCCCAACAAATGTTCTGTCGATCATCCCAAGTCTACGTTGACGCCTCAGATACAGGGCAGAAATGACGTAGCCATGTGAAACCTGAGTTCACTGCACCTGAGCAACAGCAACCTCCAGCTGCCAAGTCCAGGTGGTATAGAGTTTCAATGTTCTATTTCTACCCAGTATCATTGACGATCACGAGCACTCAATCTCGTGTATGAGGATATGTCACAAACATACGGACTATCCTAACCCACAAATTCGCTGGTTTCTAGCAGCAATTTCAATGTTTCAATCAGCTACACCATCGTGTCAACGCATTGTGATTGGACAGACTACACCTCGACTAGTGAGCAGCTGAGCCACGAAATCCACGAGTCAACGGACGAAAAGGGAAACTGCTAAATAAAAAAAGACAATTAGGTAGCCGAGGTCTAGAGCAGAATTAACCGCCATAGTAATTAACTGATATACAGACGGGGATCCTCTTCATGCCTTGATCTCTTTTATCTTCCTACGTCAACCCTTCCGCATCCCGCAATTCAGTGCCAGCAAGCTGCCAGGGAAGCCCACACAGCGGCTCTGGACCCCACCAAAATATCAAGACCCCGAACCGGGTTTCGGCAGAGTATCTCCTGGTCCCTCTATTACGTGCCTTATCTACTGTCGAAAGCAATCCCATCCGAAACACCAAAAGAATACACACATGAGCATATTGTCTGCTCGTTATATGCTCATGGTGAAAGCGGTAATATGGAGGGCCTTGATGGCTGTTGGCATGAAGTTCCATCACTTCGCTGATCCCAAACCTCCTACACCTAATTTTAAGATTGTTGTTCCGTCGAGGTTATCAGACAAGGGTGGCACATTTATACTGGTCTTTTACGTTCCGCAATCGTACTTTGAAGCACCGGAGGGATACCAGTATCCAGTGGTGGTCAATTTTCATGGTGGAGGATTCACATTGGGTACAGGAACCGACGATGCAAGATGGGCAGCAACAGTAACTGGTGTGGTCGAGGCAGTTCTCGTGTCTGTCGAATATAGACTGGCTCCGGAATATCCGTTTAGTGTAGGAGTGGAGGATGGTACAGATGCCTTGATATATCTGGCTTCGCACGCCGAAGAGTTACAACTTGATCCTCATCGGATTGCTCTCTCTGGCTTCTCAGCAGGAGGTAATTTTGCACTTACAGTTCCATTGATGCTCCACGATTTACGAAATGAAGCGGGAAGACGAAATTTATCAGAAGCCCAACCAGTCAAAAAACAAAAACATAAATCCCCAGATCATCTAGCAACACCCGATGGAGTTGGAACACCATCAGCCGCGTCCTCTACTCTGTCTCTCCCCCGATCACCTCTCACAGCAAGTCATTCCTCAATGTCCGTATATAAACTGACGGACCTCCAACCGACCGCCTTGGAAATAGAACAATCAGTTCCAGATCTCACGATTTGCGCCATCGTCTCCTTTTACCCACCAACCGACTTCCGAGAGACCCGTGAGCAGAAAAGAGCAACGAATCCACATCCCGAAAAGAATCTACCCCCCATGCTTACCGATCTTTTCGATAAATCCTACATCTCGTCATCAATCGACCTATCCGACCCCTATCTCTCACCCGCAGCTGCCTCAGATGCTTTCCTCCGAGCCGCATATCCTCAAGATATCGTACTCTATACCTGCGAATACGACATGCTGAACGCCGAAGGCGTAGCATTTGGGGAGCGCCTATCTGGTCCCGGAGTAGGGAAGACGGTTCATGGGGGATTGGTGAAAGAAGTAGTCCACGCATTCGATAAGAAACCTAATCCTCTCAAATTCCCTGCTGCCGCGGATCGATGTTATTCTGAAGCTTGTTCGGAGCTGAAGAGGGTGTTTGGGGGAAGGACGACGTTGGGGGAGAGGAGGCAGTTGGGGATAGAGGAGAGGGTGGAGAGATTCGAGGATGGTGACGTGCATGATGGGTTGGCTATTGCTGATGGCACTGTTGGTGAGGGGAAGTTGGATGGGAATTTGGATTCGGTCAAGAGCTTCAAGGAAGGGAGTATCCAGGATGGAATCATGAGGACTGCGCAGGCTAAGGGTATGGTTAGTGGTGGGGAATCGAATAAGCAAAAGAATAAGACGACCAAGGACTTTGGTCATAAGAAAGTACCTGATGGAGTCGCTGGGGATAAGGATATGGTGTGAGGGGGAGAGATGATAGAGGGTGACATATTTACACTCACACTCACACCCACGCTCACACCTCATCATCTATGAAAAGACGATGTAGTAAAGATATAACGCTATCCCCTTCTAGTTCTAAATCTAGGATTTTAGATATTATATATTAAGAAATAGATTAGACTATATTAGGGAATGAATTAGGATCTTTCATATATGTAGAGGCGTTTTCTTTTAGTATACAGTATATGGTTGATAGATAGGTATAGGAATAGGAATAAATGAAATTATGAAATACTTTCTGGTGTTTTAGTAGAGTATTGGTGGAGTAATTGAAGTGTGAAATTGTGAAAGCGTGGGTGTGTGGGAGTATAGGAATATAAGTATAATAGGATGTAGGTGTAATAAGTAAGATAATAGAAGGTAATATATTTACACTTATACCTATACCTACACATACACCTTATCATCTATAAAAAGACGATATAGGTAAAGATATAACTCCTTCTTCTAGTTCTAAGTCTAGAATTCTAGATTTTATATATTAAGAAACGGATTAGACTATACAAGGGAAGGAATTAGGATCTTTTACATATATAGAGGCGTTTTCTTTTAGTATATAGTATATAGTTGATAGATAGGAGTAGGAATAGGTAGGGGAATAGATGAAATTATGAAATGATTCATTCGCGCATCTTTATCTTTGTCTTGTTTGAAGTTTCTTCTAGGATTCTTCAAAGGATTTCCTGGGGGATTTGGGGGGAGGTCACGGGGAGTTGGTAATGTGATTACTGGGTGTGAGGTGTACGTAGCACTTCCAAAGATTACTTAGGTCAGTATGTAGGAGGAGAAGGGGAAGGAGAAGGAGTGAGGAGATAGTGTAGTTAGTTATCCAATCTATCCAATCTATCCCCCTTTCTCCGTCCTTTTATCTGTTGGCTTTGATGTAAGTGCTGTACAATACAATATAGTATATAGTAAAAATACCCTTCTCACTTCTTAAATGATCATAATTCTCATCCCTACCCACTTCACCAACTTAAGTAACGTAAGCAATGTAAGTAACGTAAGCAATTTAAAAATAATAATATATTAACGATATTCATATCTCACTGTTAATAAATAATCATCGTCCTCATATTCCTTTGTAATGTTATCATGTTGTATTGTTATTATAATGTTTTACTCGTAAGATCAGCTGTGAGAGATTGGGAAGGTGGGATTTGGGGATTCAGGGATTTTGGGATTATTTAGGATTGTGCTGGAGGAGTGATGGGTTTTGTGGGGTGGTAGAGGGGTGATTTGGGAGAGTGTGTGGGGAGGGGAGAGGGGGGGAGGG